CGTCGCAAAATTCCAGAAGATTGGGCCGACCCCGCCCAACGCCATTGGCGCCGCCGGCAAGAAGTCTGGCGGTGCGGCCGCCGCTGGCGCGGATACCGAGGTCGAGGTCGTCGACAGGACGCCCATCGCTACGGAGGATGATGACACCGAGGCCGAGGAGAAGAAGGCGGGTAAGAAGGGGAAGAGCAGCAATGGCAGCACTTCTTCTTCTTCTGGAAAGGGCGATTTCAGCGCTTTCGATGAGGAGGAGGATGTCAAGTATATCGAGAAGGCGAAGAAGAATGCCATGCGGAGGAGAGGCCTGGATCCGAGGTCTTTGAAGAAGCCCAAGGGTCAGGAGAAGAAGTCCAAGGCTGAGGAGAAGAAGTGAAGAGAAAGATAAAAGAGAGAAAGAGATACGAAGGAGAGCGCGATTTATATACTGTTAATAGCATCGTATAAGAGTGATGTCTTTGGGAGACAGATAAGGGGAGGGGGAAGGAGGGGAATCTGTTGGGTTTGGCTGGTATTTTATTTGATTTTCTGTTTCTCATGGGATGAGCATTTGTGGTTTACGGTCACATTGTGGGTTATCAAAAAAAAGATTCGATTTCATAACGGCCTTTCGATCCCAGTTTGCATTTCAACGAGACTCTTTGTAAGATACAACGTGCCAGACGATGACAAGACAATGAGTCTTTTACCGACTTCATTCATTTCTCAATTCCCATAAAAAGAAATAACAAAAGTTAGAACCATCTAGTCATCCATAACATTCGCCGCCGGCCCCCTCCTCGTCTTCCTCCCCATGCCCTTCGGCGCCCCCTTTTTGAAATGCTTCTTGCCGGACCCAATCTGCACGTCCTTGGGATCCAGCCCGTTCTCCAGGGCAATCGCCGCCCGGGCCTTGCGCCCGCTGAGCATCTTGGTGCCGCCGGCGGTGCTGCCGCTGCTGCTGCCCTGCTCGCTGTACTTGTAGTTGAACGGCATGCTGACGTGGCCGCGGACGTTCTTGGGCGTGAAGAAGCTCTTGTCCAGCTTCTGGGACTTGGGGCCCTGCGGGAGGGAAACGAACTCGGAGGCGACGCTCTCGTCGTCGGCGCCGCCGAGGGAAAGGGCCTCTGTGGCGGCTACCAGAGCGGCGCGGCGGCGCTCGGGGAGGTGGGCTTCGTCGTAGAGCTCTGAGTTGAAGGCCTTTTCGTCTTCGATGCCGGGGGGAGGATGGACGAAGAGGAGCTTTCCGTTGACGTAGTCCTTGAGGATGTACCTCGACGCTCGCGCCTCGTCCGGCTGGCCCAGTCCCTGCGTCTGGAAGCCTCTGGCGGTGGCATACGCACGAAGCAGCTCCTCGGCGGTCGGAACGCCGGTGCCTCCCTCCTCGACGGGCCTCGTGTTGATCTTGATGCCGTAGATGGCTTCCAGGAACGGCTGCGGGATCCTCTTGGCGACCAGGCCCACGGGTCCCGAGTGCTCGCGCATCTGGTCAATGGGCAGCACGCCCTGGGTGACGAGGTCGGCCTTGGTGGTGGCGAAGTTGGGGAAGACGAGACCGGGGCAATCACACAGGATGACGCGGTCGCTGAGGTGGATGGTCTGGAAGTGCTTCGTCTTTCCGGGCGTTGAGGAGACGGAGACCTTCTTGGCTCCGATGAGGGCGTTGATGGTGGAGGATTTACCGACGTTGGGGTAGCCGACCAAGCCGACTTGGAGTTTGTGGTCTGAGTCTGTGCCCGTGGGTTAGCATGAATGGAAAAAAGGTCTTGTTTGAGGAGGTTGAGAGTGGCTTACCTCTGTCGGTAGGGGCATATCTTAGGAAAATCTCCTCCAGCTCTTCGACTGTGAGAATCTGGGTGTCCTCGTCATCTACCGGCGCTTTGCCCTTTGAGCTTTCTCCCTGCTCTACCTCGGCTGCCTCGCCCGCCTCGACTTCACTCCCATCCTCTGCCTCCTTTTGAGGAGCTTTCTGAGCCTGTTTCGATGAAGAAGACGGCTCCTCGTCTGACTCGCTATCCGCATTCTCCCTGGCTTCAATCATCTCCTTCGCAAGTTGTGCGGAGAAGAACTTGTACGCAATGCCTGCCTCCCTCAGATGCTTTGCCCACGCCTTGCGCTGCTTGGGCGTCATCATATCGGCCTTGTTGATCAGAAGCAGATTCTCCTTCTTGGGATCAACCGCCTTGACGTATGATTCTAAATCCTCGGATCGGAACAGCAGCGGGTTTCTCGCGTCCACAATCTGCACAATGAGGTCCGATCTCTCAATGACTCTCCACAGCTGTCTCCAAACTTCAATGTTTCGCTCAAACGGCGTCATCAGCAGGTCGTTGTTCTCCTGCAGCTCTGCCAGCCCCCTTCGCCACGAAACGAGAGCCTCTCGCTCTCGCCTGTCGAGCTCCTCCCGAGTCGTCGAGGCATCCCACTGCGGCCTTCGCGGGACCGTCAGCCGGTTCTTGTGTTGTCGGTGCTTGCCCAGGACGGCTCGCTCTTCGGTGGCGGACAGCAGGTAGGGATTCCGCTGGTCGGTGTGGATGATCTTGACGTTGTTCATCTTCTCGGCCGTGAAGTCGGTGCCGGCCAGCTCGGCAGTGGCCAGGAACTCGTCCAGCGCGCCCTGCTCCGTGACGGAGCGCATCTTGACCCAGGCGGCATCCTTCTTCTCGTTGACCAGGTACTGCTCGCCCGTCGTGTGGTTCGTTCGCATCAAGGCCGACGTCTTCTTGTGGTCAGAGCCTCTGCCCTTGCCGAAGCGGTCGTTCATCAGCGTGTTGCCCAGCCCCTCATTCTTCTTTGACTTTGCCAACACCATCTTGGCGGCTTTTTCGATGACTCCTCGGTATGCGATTCTTCAAACAATTTCAAAATATATAGTCTGTATGCCCTCGATCGCAGAGAGGACAAGGCTGAATATTGTGTTTGTGGAAGGTCGACCGCATGTCCAGGTTTGCGGGCTGAATAATACATGCAGCGATGGAGGGGCAAATTTTTTGGATAGTCATGCGGAAAAGTTTCTCGCACTGTAATTAGATGCACAGTCACACAGCCCCATACAGTGCTATCGGGCGCCGGACTGTACCGGCGCTACCAAGAAATTTCTTGGGAAGTCTTGCGGTAGGTCAACGAGCCCGCTTCTTGTCCATGCTCAACTGATTCAACGCAAATCGCAAAATCGCCAAGATGCCCAAGGGAAAGTGGATGTACGTTGATCCCGTTGCTCTGCTCTGTGTGTTCTTGTGTGCTGCTTGAGCACGGCTGACTCCCTGCGATACATGTAGTGATAAGAAGACGGCGCAGCACTTCACGCTCGTCCACCGTCCGCAGAATGATCCGCTCATCCACGACGAGAATGCGCCGTCCATGGTGCTGAACCCGGTCCAGACAAAAGCCGGTTCAAAAGTGAAGCATTTGGATGACCTGGCATCCGAGCTGGGATCAGATGCGGAACACATCCGCGCCAACGAGGGCGAAGCCGCAAACTATGGCGTCTACTTCGACGACACCGAGTACGACTACATGCAGCACTTGAGAGACCTCAACTCGGGCGGCGGAGATGTCGTGTTTGTCGAATCCACCGCGACGCAGAACAAGGGCAAGGGCAAGCAGAAGCAGTCGTTGGAGGATGCTCTGCGACAGATGGACCTCGAGCACAAGTCGGGCGATCTTTTGGACGAGGAGATGCTGCCATCCAAGAATCTCACCCGGCTGACCTACCAGGCTCAGCAGGATGTGCCCGATGCCATCGCCGGATTCAACCCCGACATGGACCCTCGACTGCGAGAGGTTCTAGAAGCCTTGGAAGACGACGCTTATGTTGACGATGATGAAGACATCTTCCAGCAGCTGTCCAAGGACGGAGAAGAGCTTGAGGATTACGATTTCGAGAATATGGGATTCGATGACGACGAGGACGATGGATGGGAATCCGATGCTACAGCAAAGCCCACCAAGGAATACAAGGAGCAAGTACCCGATCTTGTCAAGGTTCAGCCAGAAGAAGGACCTTCAGAAGACTGGATGGAGGACTTTAAGAAATTCAAGAAGGACCAGAAAGGACAGCGTGAACCAACAGCTCCGTCACGTTCGGGAGTCGAGTCCATGTGGACAACGACCACCAACGGAGGCAGGACGAAGAAGCGCAAGGGCGCGCTGACGAATGCCTCGGCGTACTCCATGACATCCTCATCGCTGGTACGGACAGAGCAGCTTTCATTGCTGGACGAGAGGTTCGAGAGGCTGGAGGCTCGCTACAACGAAGACTTTGACGATGTGGGATCCGTATCCGAGGTGTCAACGGCCTCGAGCGTCCAGGGACCGATTCGGGGAGACTTTGATGGTATCCTGGATGATTTCCTTGGCTCTTACACAAAGCCTGGAAAGCGCACGTCAAAGAAGTCAAAGGCGCAGACAGGCTTGGAGCAGCTTGACGAAATCCGGCGAGAACTGGGGCCTCCACGCATTCGAGGCCGTGTCAAATCATGAATATGGCATGATGGGAATGGGAAAAGACGGGGCGGCGTAACGCGCAGGCAAAAAGTGAATCAAGGGCTAGCGATTTCCATTTAACGATCATATTCCTCCTCTTCTATTCTCTTTTTGTAAGTTTTTCAAGTGAGGCGCCTCTGCATTCTGGTATAGACTGGGTGAAGACGCAGATAGAGAGATAATGTCCACTTCTCCTTCTCGCCTGCTGTCAGTTGACTGCTCTTGATTTCTTCACTATTAGTTTATTCTTCTTTTACTTGAACCATCTTGAAGCTCGATTTATTATTTTCCTTTCCACCTCATGTTTTGAAGCCGTCGTCTTGGTCCCTCGGTGAGCAGTCCAAAAGTCGCGAGTTCGCTGCAGGTCGGCATCACGTGACGCCCAATTCTCCGGACCGCGAAGCTCAATCAAGGTACGGCCAAGCTTCTGGCATCGCGCCTCAACAGGAAGATCCTGCGACAGACACGGCCATCTCCAGCAAAACTCCCGTCAAAGTCTCGCCCCAGCGCCTCCGTCCTCCATGCGCAAAATCGTCACGTAGATGCATGCGACGTCCGTTGCATCATCGAGCCAAATGTTTTCCCCGTTCAGCCAGAAGACGCAGGGCTCGTCGCAGGCGTTCAATCCTTTTGCTCCTCGACCGGCCGGCGAAGGAGCTTCATCATTTGGTTCCGGTGGTGCAGGCGGCTCCGACTCGCAGAAGAAGAGTAAGCGCAAGAATGGCTTCGCCAGCGGCAGCGACAGCGAGAGGAAGCCCAAGGCCGGCAATCCGTTCCTGGCCAAGGATGGGAATGGGAGCTTGAGCGACAGCGGGAGGCAGGGGAAGAAGCGAGGTGGAGACGGGGAGAAGAAGAAGCTGTCAGAGGTCAAGAGGACGCAGAAGAAGGAACGCGGCGGTGCAAAGGGGCTGCAGGTGCAGAGAACCGTGCAGGCTGCCACGAGTGCCGAAGAAGACAGCACGTCACGCCCCAGCTCGTCTTCGAGCGTGAGCTCCGTCGACGAAATCCCCGCCACTTCGATGATACGCGCCACCGATCCGTACACGAAGAAGGTATACGACCAGCTGCGGAAGGATGGCATCAGTCCACCAGCCTGGCCGTCCCAGCCAGGAGATCCGAAGAGCAAGGCAGAGATGGCCAAGTTCAGGGAAAAGTACGAGGACTATCGACAAAAGGTGCGCGCCTCGCTCACGAAAGCGGCTCTGATCGACGATCCGAACGAACGAAAGTCGCTCCAGAACGCCATCACCTTCCAAGGTATCTGCGAGGATATGTGCTCCGAGTACGAAAAGATTACACGAATCACCGAGCTGGATGTTCCCCAACCGGAGAGGGATTCACGGACAGGGGTTGCAAAGACGAGTCGAATGGTCAAGAAGCTGGCACGCTCGGCTGCCGGACAGGAGGCTCCTCTCCCAATGGACGTCCGCTCTACGGCTGCCTTGCGACGAACGTTGGACTACCTGATCGACGACCTGCTTCGTAACGACGACAACTTGCCGATTCTTCACGGTTTCTTGTGGGACCGAACGCGAGCTATCCGCCGAGACTTTACCTTCTTCTCATCCCCTACGACCGAGGATCTGAAGACGCAGGCATATGTGCTGGAGAACATTGCGAGGTTCCACGTCACGGCACTGCATCTTCTGTCACAACCAGGAAAAGCTGGCGAGGATTTTGTGGAACAGCAGGAACTCGAGCAACTTGGAAAGGCTCTACTCTCTCTCCGAGATTTGTATGACGACTGCAACGCTCAGGGGATTGCGTGCGAAAACGAGGCTGAATTCCGCGCATACTATGTGCTCTTCCACGCCCACGATTCAAATACGGTTGAGATGCTGCAACGACAATGGAAACCGCATTTCTGGAGGGACTCGGACGACATTAGGACTGCCGTATCGCTTGTCGAAGCCTTGCAGAACACCAACGACTTTCATCCCCCATTGAAGCCGGCTCCCTCCCTGGCGGCAGCCAACGCCTTCCACTCATACTTCCGGATTGTCGAGGACCCCAGCGTCTCATACACGATGGCATGTTTTGCGGAATGTCACTTCCCACAGATTCGGCGGTCGATTCTGCGGGCTGTGAGGAGAGCATTGGCCCGGCCCAAGGACACGACAAACGATGTGACAGCCGCTGCTTTGAACAAGTTTCTCCGGTTCGACACCACGCAAGAGGCGATCGATTTCGCGAAGCTACACGGTATCGAGTCCGTTCCAGACGCGCAGGCTCCCATGGACGTCGACCGACAACTCATGGTCCTGAATAACAAGGGGCCCCTTTTGCACCCGCGACTTCACCATCAGTTCTCACAAACTCTGGTGGAAAAGAAGCGGCAAAGCCGGCCATTGCCGGATGTGATTCACAAAACTGTCTATGAGAACCCAACAAATTCTTTACCGAGTGCCCCCTCATTGAAAAACGAAGGATCTCTCTTCGTCGGAGGTTCAGGGCCAGGAACTCCAGCCGAATCTCCTTTGATGAGCTCCCAAAAACCAGCGCCTTTGCCTGCGTTCGGCCAGCCTTTAAGCGGCTTTGGAAGCAACCTTGCTGGGACGCCTAAAGGTAGAGATCTCTTCCCTTACCAGAGACACCATCGCCAGCCATTTCTCGCCTTCTTGGTCTTTCCAGTCCACTGACTCCGTTCTAGCACCAGAGCAAACAACCAGCGTCTTCGGAGCCCCTGAGGCACCAAAATCAACCACACCATTTGCGAACCCTTTTGCTTCCGCCTCGACACCCACGGCGACAGCTTGGGGCAGCGCTCCCACTTTCGGTTCTACAACGCCTGCTTACCCTTCGAACAATCTACCGGCCGCGGCCAACCCTTTCGCATCTGCCACCACGTCAAGCAGTACCTCTGAGAAACCCCCTACTCAGCCAACACTCTTAGGGGGAGGTACCGCTAGCAATCCTTTCGCAACGGCAGCGCCAGCGCCTTCTACGACATTTCAGGGCTTTCAGGGCTTTCAGAGCAAAGCACCCTCTCAGCCGCAAGTACAGTTACCTGAAAAACAAGGCAGCTTCCCGCCATCCTCCTCGCCTACGACTGTGAACGGAATTGCACCCTCGCTGAAGATTACCTTTGGCAATGCTGGAGAGAACAAGCCAGCCGCAGCAGGGCCATTTGGTGGCATACAAACCTCTCAACCAACCGTATTCCCTCCAGCTGCGAATACGGCCCAAGGGGGGACCAGCCAGCCTAAATTCAGCTTCCTTGCCTCTCCATCACCGGCTTCTGCTCCAGCAAGCACAAGCAAACCGACTAACTCTACAGCTGTACCGGCAATTCCCGCTTTCCCAGGTTCAACGGTATCCTCTGGTCCAGGCGCAAAACCATCGGAAACTGCGCAAGGTCAGGTCCAATTTAATCTGAACGATAAGCCATCGCCACTTCAACAGCCTGGTGGAAGCTTCACCTTCTCTTCGCCAAGCTCACTCGGAAACCAAGCACCCAAGGATGGCCCGTCGACCGCGCCATCACCAACACCATTTTCTGGCTCCCCCTTGAGTTCAGAGAAGAAAAGTATCCTGGAGCCACCCGTCAAGTCTTCACCCTTCTCTGGCTCTTTGCAGCCTTCCCCAACCAGTTCTACCGAGTTGAATCTCCCGAATTCCGATCGCTCAAAGGAGGTGAATGGTGGCACCACCCCTACCACATTGCCTCCCCCTTCGGCCGCATCTGCCTTCTCCGTCCCGGGTCCAGCCACTGCTAAGCCGCCTGCTCCTGCCCCTGCTCCACAACCTGCGAGCCCTCCGCGTGATCCGCTTGGCGAATTCACAAAGTGGTTCGTCAATGGAGATAGTGGGTTGATGAGGGAATTCGAGGTATTCATGGTAGAAAGCATTGTCCGCGAAACTTACGACAAGTTCCAAAAGGATGAGGCAGAGAGGAAGGCCAGAGAGAAAGAGGAACGAGACAATGCGGAAGCTAAGAGATTCCGAGTTTACAATCTTTCCCTGAAATACTTTTACCGATGGAAGAAAAATGCTCGAGAGAAGCGGCTACGGCATCTTCGTCGAAGCGGACGCGACCAATTTCGCGCGTTTCGCGAAGCTCAGCGAGCAGCACAGATCAGGGAGGAGCAGGAAAATGCTCAACGGATTGCGAGGCAACAGGCGGAACTGGCTGCTCTCAATCGACCTGATGAGCTGGCAAGCATCATGAGGAAGAACCAACGGAATAAGAGGAAAGCGGCGGAAGACGCACTGCTTGCATCCGGTGTCTTGTCCGGCGTTTCCAATGAACGGAGGGCCGTGTCAGCCATCTTTCGCAACGATTACCGACTATCTTCTCCCACGCCGTCGTCGATCAATGGGAGCCAGGGGGTCAGGTCTCGTTCTGGGTCGGTCGCCAGCACCGAGGGTGGCTCAAAAACGCGAGCGTTGCGCGAACGACTCATGGGAGAGAAGCCTGGTCGATTTCCTCGCTCTCTACCTTCTGTGTCGGCAGACAGCTCACCGCCGGAGAAGGCGCGCGTCAGCAAAGTATCGGAGCGCTGGCGGTTGAAAGCCATGGGCATCGTGCAGATGCCGGACGGGACTGCTCTTCCGGAATCCATGGTGGATGAGATCAAACGCGGCCTTAGGAGGGACACGAGCCATAGGAGGGACACGAGTCTCAGGAGAGACGCATCCCTTCGACGGGCATCAATCACCTCGGCAGCGTCAGCGCGGCCCCAAAGCCCGCTCGCCTTCATCAAAGCATCTAGGAACGACCCCTTCGCCGACAGTCCGCTCACTATCAACAATAAGCGCAAGCGGTCTTTCGGAGACGAAGGCGAAAGCGGTGAGACGGCCAAGGAGAGAGGAAGAGGAGTCGAGGATGATACGGACAACATGGACTCACACAAGCGCGTCATGAGCGACGCAGACCTCTTGATACAAGAGCTCAGGGCGATGAGGCAGGAGATGGAGGAGGGCACGACGTGGTTCAAGTCACAAAATGGAAAGCTACAGAGCGATATACTGAGCAGGGGAGGGACTCCTCTTTTGGACGAAAGCAGCATCATATGAGAAGGGGCATTCGGCGTTGGGAAGGGCAAAGGTTGGGGGGGGAAGGGAAAGGGAATTGATATTCTTTCTTTGTCCTCCCCTATCTGTTTAGCTTTGTTCTTTTTTTTTTGTTTTTCTCCTATTTGAGGATACAGGCTCACACAATTGTCGAGAGAGGAGGAATTCAATTGCATGGTAATAAAGGCTTCTCATATTCTGCTCCCACTGTTACCTGATGCGTTGCCCGTTTTCACAAAGTTTGTTTGAAGATTTAGTCTTTGCTTCCGCTTTTTTTTTTTCGGTTTCTGTTATGGTATTTTTGCTTCTTATTACATCCCGTACGAAAGGGGGGTTCAAAGGAGAGAATGACAGAAATATTTTTGATGGGAGGAATTCGGATCAATACCCCCCTTTTGGATTCGAAGCGTCGGACTGAAGGCTAGCAATGCGTTCAACTTGTTGCAAGTATCATCCTTGAGCCAGAACTCATACGATCATCCATTTCTTTCCTTTTTTTTTTTTTTTTTTCTTTTTTTTTTTTTCCGAGGCGCAGGCCATGATTTAATATGCTTCCTTTCGAGGTTCCTTTCAGGCGGTAGTTGGGGCCCATGAGCAAGCGTGCTTTATTAGTTGATATCTGGGAGGTTCCTTTTCTGTTTCTTGTATTGATCAGACTAGGATAATTATAATGACATGATACGCAAAGACTTGTTGATTGTTTTCAACTCTTGTTATTTACATGCCCGAAGTTATGTGTTGAATTGAAGCTATCATAAATCATTCAGTGGCTCATACATTACCCCAGCTACACACCCTCATACACAGCCCGCTGCCCTCATACAGACATGGTCAACACATCGTATCGTACACACCAGCAAGGCAAGCAAATCCCAAACACATATAATCGTTGCAACGTGAAACCACAATAAGCTACCTCACTGCACGCGTAGGCGGCGGTGGAAAAGACGTAATGAGAATGTCGCTTTGGACTGGGCTCCCCACGCTTGTCCTACTCTTTTTCTTGCTAATCAGCCCAAGGGCATTTGTTATTCCACCATTCTCCTCTTCCCACTTCCTCTCAGGCCGTTGGGGTTTTGGCGTCGGTGACCAGCTGCTGGACGGGCTCAGGTGGGGAGAAGGCGTATATCCAGGGGGCTGGTGCCCAAGAAGGGGCGCGTTGGAGCGAGTTGAAACAGCAGACGCCGGCGTTGCAAAGTCGTCGGGAGAGGAAGCCCGGGGCGATATATATGCCTGAGACGGCGGCGACAGAGTAGTTATAACGCTGGGCCTGATCACTGGGCCCTGCTGTCTATTGATGCTGACGGTCAACGAGCTTTGGCTGTTCCAGGGATATTGATCCGCGGCGTATGGACTGGCTCCAAGACCAGTGGTAACCATGACATGCGCATGCTTTTCGCCATGCGAGACGACGTCGGTCTGAACATCTTCAGGGAACCGTGGAGTGACGGGCGTCACTCTGGTCTGGCAGCGGAAAGAATAGCCAGACGTGCGATTCTGCTGTCTCGCGCGATTCCTGCGCTTGCGGACGCACACAAAGATGAAACCTGCGACTAGCGCAAGTACGACAGCAGCACCAACGACGATGCCCACGATTCTCGAGCTCGAGATTTTGGGGCTGTCAGAGTTGGCAGGGGATGATGGGTCAAGGACTTGAATGGTGTCATTGCCAAAGATGGTATTGTTGAGGATTAGGATGGAGCCTGGGGCGGGCTTTGACCTGCATGCTCCTTGAAGCGTGAGGAGGACTAGTCGAGAGAATTAGCAACACAGAAGAATCTGGGAGGCGTAGGCGTGTAATACACGTACAGTTGGAAAGATAATTGTGGTTTCCATCAGCTCCCACACATCCCAGACATCCCTGGACATCGTCACTCGTGATGGCGCCTCCGCTGGCGTCGCAGTAGTCATATGGTGTCGAGTTGGTTGGGCTCTTGATGCCGAATTCGAGAGCAGAGGCTAGATTCCCGCATCCCTCGGACGTCGTGCAAGGGCCGGAGTCAATGCCGGTGTTGTTGGGGTAGCCAAACATGCAGTAGCTGGAAGAATACCGCAGGTTATCTTTGCTCTTGTTAGCTACAGCCTCTAATGGCGTTCGCAGCCACAAAGGACTTACAAAGGAACCATTCCTGGTCACTCTCGCTATCGTGGGTGTAAGTGCTGTTCTGCAAGCATGTGAAGCAGCTCTGCAGCTTTTGTCCCTTTGATGTGCCGTCCAAGTTCTGGTCGGTGCAGACAATGTCTTTCCATTGGTCATCGAAGAACTTTGGATCTGATTGCGATGAGTCGGAGGTGGTGCAAACGCTTGTGCATGGTGAGTTTGGAGAGACTCTGAAGGCGTGCGCCAATGATAAAGTCGTGATGAGTAAGGGGAATATCCCACGACCGACAGGCATGTGCACCATCTTCTCTAACAGATGATCTCGGTTGGTTGATGTGAGAAGAGTTGGTAGGAATTAGATCCCAATGAAGGCGGACAGCTGGATGCGTGTTATGAAAGAGCGACTGCTGTCAATCAAAGGCGTAATCGAATATAGAAAGACAATGCCAAAGGAATGTCCCAATACTTCGGAGAGATTTTCGCTGTCGCAGCGTCTCTCATCCGTATATGCAAAGGCAGTACGGCCTATCAGTAAGCAGTTTCCAGACCACAAAAGGACTGCAACACGGCAAAGAATAATCCAAGCAAAGAGCAATGCAACAGAGAGGTATATTCAGAAAAGAGAGAGAGAGAGAGAGACAAAGAACGACTGAGAATTGCCGAGTCAAGCCAAGACGCAGAAGCAGCAGAAGCCGCCCATAATATCCTGGTCCCTCATGTCCATTGACGCGTGAATCATGGCTTGAATAAGCTTGTTGATCCCCAAGGCGCCGGTGACGAGACTATCGTGACGGGCAGCAGGACACGGCGGCAAAAACCATGTGTTCTTGACTTCTGTTCCTGCATCGACACGGCAGACGATGGATTTGCTTGCCGCCCGTCCTGGACCACACCCCTCGCTTAAGGGCTCAGCTTCCCCCCGTCGGTGATATCACGCACCCGCAGTTCTCTCTGTATGTATGTCTGTCAGTCTCTGTTTCCTCTTTTCAAGGCGCTTGCTTGCATCTTCAGCAACCCCATCGACTTGACATGGGGGCTTGAAGTCCTGCCTTGCTTTGTCCTTTGCCTCGGCCGACAACCTCTCATCACACCGTCTTCAACAACCGGCATCCCTGACCCATCGCATCGCGCCCCATCGCATCGCATCGCATCGACAATCTCCACGTGAGGGAGGGCGGCACATCACACAAAGACCAATCAGGATTCACCATAATCACAGACAGGAACAAGGCACCAAGCAGACGGCGGAAACTAGGAAGAAACCAGCCAAAGGCGTCGTCGATTGCGGTCCAATGAGGAGCGACGGAACCGCCTGCAGCAGAAAATGCAACGAACTATTAGATGGAGAGCAGAGCGAGCGCCCAGCCAATGGATGCAATTGGCGAGAGGAGGTAATATTGCAAAGGAGAGGTGTGATGGATGACGGCAGAAGAGAGTCGGCGCTTAAATTCCTGTTCTCTGGCTCCACGTGAGTTTGTGCCCAATGCCGCCTTCCCGTTCAGGACGCAGGTTGAAGGCGCTGGAGATGAGTTGACAAGTACCTACTTCACTTCATCTCAACAGCTGCTTCACATGCAAAATGACCAAGAAATCATAGAATGAGTATGTACGAATTGATACCTAAACGCCAATTGCCCAATGTCCCCGGTCTGGGTAAACTAGAAAGAAAAGAAAAGAAAAAAGGTGCAAGACTACCAACTTCCATATCGACAGCAGACTCCCACGCCGGGAAGCTTCACATTCAAACAGATTCCTCATCAGTCTGCATCTTGATTCTTCCACACACTCTGCTTTTCTCCCCTTTGCTCCTTTTCTTTTAATCGCTGTCCTCGTCGTCGCCCTTGCCTCCCTTCTTGGCTGCCTTGGCCGCCTTCTTCTCCGCCTTCCGTCGTTTCCGCTCGGCCTTCTCCTCGGCCGTCTCGCCCTCGTGCTTCTTTCGCTTCTTCTTGTCCTCATCGCCGGCGGGGGCCTCTGCGGCGTCGTCCATCTTGGCGTCAGCCTGCTCGCTCTTGGAGGGCAGGACAGGGATCGAGGTTGTGGTGGCGGGAGCAGCAGCGGCAGCGGCAGCGGCGGCGTCAGACGCGCTGAAGTCCTTGTACTCCGAGGTCCACTTGGCGGGAGTGGCATCGTTGGGTCGGCCGAACTTGTCCAGCTTGCCGTCGGCCTTGAGCTTCTTCTTCTCCTGGGCGACGGGTCCGAGACCCCATCGTCGGGGGTACAGGTCACGCTCCATGATGCAGCGCTTGACCTTGGCCACGACTCCGTGGTCGCACGTAGACATCTCAACCGTAGACATCTGGGCAATGCCAATGGCGATAGCCTCACCCTTGGTGGTCATCAGGACAACCTCCTCGTGGTGCTCAATGCCAGACTCTGTAGGGAAAACTTCAGTCAGCGACACAACCTTACACATATGATCAAGCCTGTGATGGATGGGAAAAACATACCATAGCGCAAGAGACCGGGAAGCATAAGCTTGGCACCGTAGCAGACGGCGTTGACAGCGCTGTCCTTGACAACAAGACGCTTGTAGCCCAGGAGCAGAGTCTCCAGCGGCGCAATCACGCGGCGCAGGTACGACTCGTCCCGAGTGTTGTCCATCATCCACTGAGCATCCAGCACATCGTGCAGAGTGACGAGGTGCTTGGTCTCGTCCATGGCACCGGATCGCACACGTCGGAGCTCCTGCATGTGGGCACCGACACCCAGCAGCAGACCCAGGTGCACGCACAGGGTTCGAATGTAGGTACCAGCCTCGCAGCTCACCCAGAAGACACCCAGGTGACGGTCATTGTCAAACTCAATCAGCTTGCTCTCGTGGATGGTTCGGATACGGAGCTGTCGCTTGACGGCAGAGATCAGGGGCGGGCGCTGGAACAGGGCACCGGTGAGGGTCTCGAGGGCGCGGGCGAACTGGGCCTGGCCGCCAGGCAGCTTGTCGTGCAGGCGGATGATGGCCACGTACTCCTTTCCGGCGCCCTGCTGGGACTTGACCAGTCGAGTCGCTCGGTCGATGCAGACAATCAGGCAGCCCGTGACCTTGGGGTCGAGGGTACCGCTGTGACCAGTCTTCTCAACACTGTACCAATTCTCATTGTTAGTTCCACCATTGTCAGGGCGAGGTCAAGTGATTGGGGAATCCCAATCGGCGACAAGGATACACAGGTCGGCACGAACCGAAGAATCCGCTTAACCCAGGACACAACCTCGTGACTAGAAGGGTTCGAGGGCTTGTCGAGGTTGATGACACCTGAGCTAATGTAGGATTTGATATCGCGCTTCAGCGGCGCAGATCCGTTGGGGATCGGGGTGAAGTGACCGGTTCGCACAAGAACTAGAGAGACGAAGCAAAAAGAATAGAGGTTAACACAAGGCTCTCTCTCTCGTCATGACTGCGTGTGCCTCTTTTCCCCCATGCGCTCCAACGGCGAGTTCAACCACCGCTCCAACGCCCCCAATTGAGAGTCGCAATCCAAGCCACAAGCGCAAAAAAAAACACGAGATCAGGCTCTTCCACTCACGATTGTCATAGTTCTTGAGCAGCAGCGGCCACTTGCTGGTGTCCACAGGAGGAGTCACCGCCTGGGGCTTGATGGTGTACTCCTCCTGCTGCTCCTTCTTGTTCACGACTACCGACATCTTTTCGCAGTCGATTCTCGAACGAATCAATCAGTGAATGCGAATATCCGAGAATCGAGGACGAAAGAAGAAAGAATCTGCAACGTCTGGCGGGTTCAGCTGAGGGAGACGATGCTGGCGCGCGCTTCGTTGCTAGTCGTGATGGTGTTTTTTCCTTCTTCGAGTTCTTCTACGAACATTGAGCTTCCAGTTTTTTTTTTTTTTTTTCCTTCGCTCTGTGGGGCAGAAACTTTGCAGTCCCCGAAATTGTGGCGCCAATTAGTCGCTAGGCCGGATATGGGCAAGCGTATATGCAAAGCCACAGACACACGGTAGACACCAGCCACAGTCAAAGCACAATCGATTGCTTAGTCAGCGAATGGGTCGGCTGGCTCAGAGGCATCTTGACGAGAACGAGCAATGAAACCCACCTCAATGTCATTGCTGCTGGTTTATCCGGCATGATGATTAGATTCTGATTGTTCTGATTGAATATCGCGATGATTGCGTGTTTCAGTTCACTACTTTATTCCGAGAAACAGGCGTCGTCAAGGCGCAATTGGGTATTACCAGCATCGAATCCAAATTCCATCCCAGCCCGTGATCCCCCCCCCGTCACGACACCAGCAGAGAGGTAGATGCTCAAATCACTCCAAAACACCAGCGCACAAAGAAAACAGGGAGTACACATCAAGATTCGTCAGACCCCAACAGAAAAGGACATATCCATGAGTCGTGTGGCCATTAGCTGGCACACGGGCTCCCTCCAGTTCTCGCCCTCCCCCTTCACATCGCATTCCCATTCACGTCGTATTGCCTCGGCGGGCTATCAGAGTTTCTTCCGTACCCGGGATGGCTCAGGATCGGAGCCTCGACGTGCACGGGTTGCTTGTTGGCCACGATTCCGCTCCCGGCACTGTCGACGTATTGCATTTCGTATGACTCCTCCTTCATCTTGCCTTTATCTTCCGGCGACGCTGGCCATCGCTCGTGGTTTGCATTACTAGCGTTAACGTCGATGGCCGAACCGAGTGCGAGCCCAATCTCGCGAGGAGACCGAGGAGAGCCCAGCGCGGGTTCCGGCCACGGCATGTGGTTGACGTCCGTGGCACTGATGGGACTGTTGAACTGGGAGGAGTAGGGGGAGAAGTATCGAGGAAACGTCTTCTCCGTGTTGCCGGTGACGGGAGAGTCGTCCCAGGTCCGCAGAGGGCGCTGGCTCAGCGGCGTCTCACTAGAGTCATGCTGAATACCGCCGGGCATGGATGGCCAGCCACCCGGGTTGGACTTCATCTGCGGCATGTTGGTCTGCAGCTTCTTGAGGAAGGCCTTTCTCCGCCTTCTGCCCCTGCAGACGATGGCCACACCAGCGAGGATGAGCAACAGAATGAATCCGGCCACGGCAATGCCGACTTTTCCGCCGAGGCCCAGCGGGCCGTGATCGAACCAGGCGGGATCTACCCGCGCCGTTGGTGTAGGCTCAGTGATGTTGACGACGTCGCTCGAAAATATGTTGCCCTCGAGTCCGAGGGTCACGCCGCTGCTTGGCTTTTGTTCGCATCCAGCTTGAAGAACAGTGATGACTGTACACACAATGTTAGCAAGAGAACTCCATCGAGTGTAAAGGGTCAGTGGACAGCATACAGTTCGCCAGATAGTTGTTGGTGACCTGGAGGCATTCGATGCATCCGTGAAAGTCTAAGCTGTCGCTCGTGGGCCATAGATCGCAGTATCCGTAGTCGTCATACTCGACGGACAGGTTCTGGTATGCAATAGCGCTGGTGAAGGCGCCACAAGCTTTGCTAAAGGGGGAACATGTTGGCCATGAACCGCGACACCGAACGAAGAAGGCTTCCTTCACTTACCTCGTCACGCATGGATTGTTGACAAAGTCATTATGCTGCGGCTCGTTGAAGACGCAGTACGACACAGCATACCGAAGGTTATCTGAGTGACAAGTATCAGCAGCAGTCTCTCAGAGGTGAAAGTGAGCAACGGGCAAATGAGACGGAGAGGGATCAATATACATACACAAGGCCGCCATGTTGTCGGAGTAGTTGCTCTTGGTCGCATACCCGCTGTCCAGCTCACACTCAACGCAGCCTTGAAACACGGTCCCAGCTCCATTATCATAGCCGCCCGTGTACTGGCCCGGCGTGCACACCAGGTCGCCGGCAGACGTCGAGTCCAGGACGTTGCCGCAGTTGGTCGAGCACGGCGAATCGGGCGCGACGAGGATGGCCTCTGCAGCGGGCAGGATCGCGCCGGCGGCTGCGAAGCTCGTCAGGAGGCGCAACATGGCTTTTTTTTTTCCGGTGAGGTGGCTTTGTCGCTGGGAGGCCGGTTTGAATGTTCAAGTAATAGCGAGCGTGTTGGAGGCGAAGCAGCTTCGGAGACACACAGTTCCAGCCTGTGTGCTATGGCATGCCACGGCCTGACAATGGCAGTTCCTCGCGAAGGTTCGAAGCTGTTCACGATGACAAACGAGAGACGGGCGGCATGCTCTTGTGGGGGTGGAGAGGGCCAGTCGAGGATGTTATAATGGAACCGGGAAGCCGTGCTATTACATGCAGCGTCGAGAACGGGCTCGGGCCGGTGAAGCCAGAGAAGAAGGGGGTTGGAGGACCGAGGCCAAGACGAAGACGGTGGCTGTTGGTCGGCAGATGTGATGAAGACGCAGACTCGCATCTCAGGCGTTCGTCCGCCGCATGTCAAAGAGAGCAGAGGTAGTATTACTGCAGGTAGTGTTAGTAGCAGCATCTCTCCAGGCCAACCCTCATGCATCACCTACTCTCTTCTCCACCCCCCAGTCCAGCTCCATTCCCAGAACGAGACAAGCGACAAAGAGAACAAGGCAGACCAAATCCCCTCGCCCAGTTCCCTCTTCCGGGACTCGCACCATCCGAACGGGGACCATCAAACCCTTCACCTGCCCCAATCTCACCACGGCACGGCATACATGGTCCTGGTCTTGGCCAACTAAAAGACGGGAGACGGAGTTGAACTTCCCCTCCCCTGGCGTGGCGTCAAGCCTCTTCTGCAGGGATCCCGGCTCGCCCATTTCACACTGCCATCACCGCTCGCTGCCTGTCGAGAGCCTCCGATTGGACGGGCGATGCTGCGGCCTGGGCGCTTAATTCGACGCTGTGGATGGATGGCTGACGGGTTCGAGGGCAGATGAACCGGACACGGAGGCAGAGGGAGAGAGAAAGCCGCGATCTACGTTGGATTTGCTTTTGGCTCATGTAGTCCAATCCCATCCGTTTTCTTCTCTACTTGATGAGACTGGTGTCCGTTTACGAACCATTCGAAACCGTCGATAGCGCCGCGCAGGTATTGATGCTAGTAAAGTATTGTGTGATTCCCTCTCCGTTCATCACACATGGTCCAAGTCCTGCAGCAGGGAAGCCTCACTGCGACCCTCCCGTCCACGTCTCCATCTGTCTTCCCTGCGCGGGGGGGCCCAGATTCTCCGCCTCTCTGCATCAGCCTTGGACCAACATGCATCTGCGTTCAGTGAACACTTCGTATTGTATTGATTCGGCTTCACTACCAGCTTCGCGGTATAACAATCATGTGCTTCGTACGGTTACAAATGCCGGCTCATAGTACGTGAATACCACAACAGAATGTGGCCACCCGTACGAGGAGTACTTGTATAACAGCGTTACAACGCAAGGACTCGAGTCACCATCACCAACGCTCGGCAGCGCGCATCATACCTTAGTCTATGTATCCCTTGTACGCTGCGACAGGCGGCACCTCACCTCACGCTTCATCAACGAACATTTACCGCCCCCAAGCGCCGTTTTTACGCACATCCCATCACACGCGAACACCCCTTTCTATCGATGTTAGTTGAAAGGCCTTTTTCCATCTCCAAGGCGAAAGAGGAGAGAAAGCGTCGGAAATGCATGCTTACTTCGAGTAGCCGCGCCATTTGAACATCGCATAGAAGCGCCGGAGTGTGTGAATGAATCTGCATATCTGGTGATTCATCAAAGCATACACCAACTGGATATTGAAACCGACATCGACCTGGACATGGGTACACACCTACAAATCTCGGCAAGGCGCCTTACATGAAAGTAGGTACTTGGTGCTAGAGCTGCATGCCAGCAGCGTGCAGACGGATGGAGGATTTCCCTTTTCGCTTATGCACAGCTAACCTGCAAGGGACGGCATTCGTGCCGTGGCTGTAAGGGGATTTTGAGTACATGGCGGACGAAATTACGGCCTCAGACTTTGATACTCGTATGTCACCCGGGGATCAGTATCTTTGATGGCGATGGTTTCCAACCTCGTGCTTGCAATATGTTGATGTATTCAATTTGTTTGTCCATTGTGCTTCGTATATCATATAGCAGTACATAAAGCTCCGTCTATGTGCAAAAACCCTCGCTAAAGAACAACCAAGGAAAAACAGTCATGATGCTAAATCCCACACTGGTTGGCATATTTTCTACCAGATCGAGCTTACACGCCGCCTCACGATATGTTCCGGAGCCTTTTCCACACACTTGAGCAGAGAAAACGTCTTCTCTAGGCCATCGGGCAGCTCTAGATCCGGAACTAGCAGCATAGCCGTCGGAGTCTTCATGCCCGAACTAGCATTTGTGACAGGCTTCTCTTCTCTCTTCGTCTCATTGCCGGGGCGAGTCTGTTCAGGCTTCGATGAGTGCGTGCGGTGGGGTGGTCGACCGTGATTGTCCCTCTGGCGCTCATTCTGCGACGTGTTGCGCCTGGTGGATGGCCTCCTCGTGGTTTCTCCCTCCTTCACATGCTGCGAATGACTCCCCGATCGCCCTCTGGCCCTAGAGTGGTTTTGATGCCGAGTCCCAGACGGAGGACGACTGCCATGCACGGGACAGCTGGCCGAAGGATACTCTTCAATGAGAGTAAACTGTGACAGGTCAACCGGTTCTCGTTGAGACATTTGCGTCCCCCGGGAGCCGCGCCGCGCATCTTTCAGATGTTTGTGCGAAGAGCGCCGTCTGCCTCTTCCAGTTTCCTCTGAAGCTACATGGGGGGATGCCGTGTGAGATTGCATGAGGTAGGCCGGTAAGACAGCACTGCTGGAATAGCTCCTGGCCACGTCGTCGATCGGGTTTTGGCTATACTTCCTTCGAAGTTGATTCTGAGACGATTGCCGTGATAGCGGTCCGCCGTAGTCACTTCCTTGCCGACTATTCCAATCGGACGATTGTCGCTGGCTGTGAGTCCTGTACTTGGACCTATATTTCTCATCCAGTCTGGTGCCGACTCCCGCTTCCGCAGTCTGGGATCGTTCTTGGGCCGTAATGTGTGATAATTCAGGGGCATCAATCATTGAGACAGAAAGCTGGCGAACTCGGCCTGGCTGGTTGTTCCATACTGATACATCAGATCGAAGACTAAACCGCTTGTCGTTTTCCACCATATCAGGGTAGAAAGGCACATATTCCTCCAGGTCTTTCTGTAAGCCTCGGTGCTCTTCTGGGGGTGCTGTCGTGGAGTGATTGGCAAATTTGAAGGTGTCCATATGAGAAACTGGAGACTCTGCTTCGAGGTATCGCCGGAGCATATATTGATCAGGCGGGATGTCAAGTTGCAAGGATTTAATGTCCAACTTGGGGCTCGGCTCTCTCGCCGCATGGGTAAACTTGTGCTCGGTTGGTTTGTTACCCAGAGGTCTCCTAGGACACTCAAGAGACTCGGGGTCATTCTGCCCGCCGATAATATGTGAGGAATCCGCGTGCCACGGTTGTGAGTCGTGTATGTCGTCTTTGTATGGTTCACGAGAATGGTCGACGGATCGCTTGTAGGAATAGTCAGGGCTATCCGAGAACTGGTTTCCGGTCTCATTCTGCGGATATGGGTCGTTGCCGGAACTTGCTTCAGACTCGGGGGGTAGGACTTCATTTCCAGATCGAATCTTGGGCTGAAGCGGCGAATAGGCCAGTTTGGCATATGGCTCGGAGTCAGTATCAACCACCAGAAGACCCGTCTCGCCGCGACCCATGATGCCGTACACCCAGATTTCGCCAGACTTTATGCCAACCACGGTACTAGTGCCGGCATAAGTTGCCTCGCCCTCGGTGCCACAGCGGTTCGCAAAGACGACGATGACTTCTTGATTCGAGTCTGCCCGGATCAGTGGCTCGAGGCGCGAGACCCAGTACAGCAATGTCATGCTGTCGGGTTCCAGAGGAGTGCTGGTAAACTCTTGTGGGTTCTCATTCGTAAGCCAGGCCATGGATACTATGACAAGGCGAGCACCGCTGTCTAGGACGTGTTGCCCGAATTCGAACTTGTTCCAAGGAGCCTCAAACTTGTAAGGGCTTCAAGTACGCATTTGCCAGGTCAGCTCCGATGATTGCAAGAGACAAGGAGTGCCATCGTCCTTCTGTGTATACTCACTTCAAATCCATGCAGATCCCCATGGCCGTCTGACCCAAGCCGGGAAGCCGACCTCCGAAGAAGCCATGAGAGCCCTCCAGCGCCCAAGTCTCGTCGGTGTAGTACAAATGAGTCTTGCGGTAATTGGCAACCGTCTCGCCGTCACCGTTGACGGCAATAGCCGAGTTGTAGTACTCGGGGTCCGTGGGCCAGTTGAGCGTCGGATCTACCTTTTCGGGGTATCCCACGACGACAGTGCAGTCGTGCTTGAGGGCCGTGTTCCGAGCCCAGAGCGAGCTGATGCCTGTGCTGGCTTCCTCGAGATAGGGAGAAATGTGACCTAGGGACTTGAAGTTGTAGCCTGAGGGCAAATCGCGGGTTAGAAGACGAAGCCACGACGCACGTCAACAAGCAGGATGTGCAAGCCTCACCGGTAAAGGCCAGCTCCGGGAGCACCAAGAGATCCAGGTCCAGGTCGTCGGATTCCGCCTCGCTGAGAACCGCGTCCGCCTTGTTGAGGTTGTTTTCCACATCGGCAACCTGTGGCGCAAACTGAAGGCACGCGATCCGCATCTTTCAGGCCTCTGCGGTTTCGCCTCTCCAGAGCTTCAAGTCTCGGGTTCAGAGACTCTACGACTTTTGCTGCGGGCAGGCCCAGAGTCCAGCGCCGACGGGCAGAGCCCGGCTTTGTGGCAGGCGCACCGCTTTCGTTGTCCTTTGTTCAAGCCCCGGACGCGCAACAGCAGACAGACAAACCGGCGATGTTGCAGCCAACGCTCGAGAGATGCTGGACCCAACAGCAAGTCGACTGACTGTTTTGGGCGTAGGACAGCAGGTTCCTCGGGACATCTGGAATGGAGCCCGAGGGTTTGGGTGAAGGCGATTACACCGGTCGAGTTGAGGGGGAGGGTGGGGTAGCCGGGACTTGACATGAAACCGTCTGGCCTCAGGGGAGCGACTAGATCCTCCATAAGACATCATCAGGCGATACCTAGTATTGGCACAGTACGGAGGTGTGCCTGTGTTATGCTCATGGCTGCAGAGGAGACATGTCAAGCCAATGCCCTGGACAAGCAGAGTAAAGGGGTTTCAAGGCCGCCTGACTGCTTCCAGCCGCATAATGCTATCAAGTCGATGCTTAACAGTTGTCTTTCTACGGTGAGGGCACATGTTGAGCGTTAAAAGGCCGTTTTACAAGTTGTTGTCAGGTACATGTAGGTAATCAAGAGTTTACAAGTACAACTTCCTTATGCCGAGTGCTCATATTCAATAGCTCGTTTCTTTCAAGGAAACCCGCGTGTCGTTTGATTCCGTCCATAGTCCTGCAAGGGGTCAGTCCTCCTGCAGCTTCAGAGGCTGATCTGATTGGACATTGCGCTATTCCCACAGCGCAGTCCACCAACGGCGTCTCTCGGTTTGCCGCCCTCTGTCGCATGAGCAGGGGCTGGCGAAGGATGCTTTTGCTCGGTTTCTTGTCTAAGATCCTTTCACGAAGCACAAGAGCATCAAAGAAGCAACCCATGGATACGGAGGAGAATATGAAGAAGATTTGAACATTGCACGCGCTCGGTGAGCATCGCCTAGGAGTCCAGGCTATGGATGGCACCTGCTGCTAAGTGAGTGTGTGAATGTGTATTTGCACAGACGCCATGATCAGTTGCAAGCGCCAGAGATATTACAGCTTTTACTAGAAATCTTGCTTTTGCTTACATGTACATATGCGCTGATGCTGTCACCGCGTTACACCTGATACCGGCTGCCGCGACAAGAGGTCGCACAAACAAGATTGTCAGTTGAAGAAAGCATGTGAGATGTGGGATGCAGAATTGACGTCACTTGGGCAGGACGCTGACAGGTCCGACCTTGAATCTTGCTCAAAGATGTCCTTCTTGGATGACGAAACCTTCGATATCCCAACTCCAACGTCCAGCTTCTGTTTCTGCGAGTTTCTTAAGCATGAATGTACAAATTTCTGAGACTAAACAATGCCAATACAGTGGAAGGCAGATAGAGAGGGCGAGATGACTAAAAGCGCCGGTTTATATGTACAACTTCATGTTGACAGCTGGGCTAATGTTGAAGGGCTGGAATTTGAAGGCACTGGGGGCCATCTAGCAAACAATTACAGGCACCGACACAGCGCTACACTGGACGCTACAGCCTCTGGGTTAGCGCTCTCGCAGGCTGGGTAGGTGCCTGTATTTCTCAGCCATCATTAGCAGCGAGCACCAGCAGTAAATCCCTCCAGAATACCCACCCAGATAATCCCGGCTCTATCAACACATCCCACCTTCGTTATCGTCGCAACCTCTTACACCATTATCGTCGCTTTTTTTTTCTCCTCCCCCCCGTCCATTTGTCATTCACAGCCGCCGACGCCGACATCGCGACTCTCCGAACCCCGATCCGGGCTTCCTCTTCCTTCCCTGCCTTTCCGCGACCTCATCCGCCCTCCGTACGGGCCTCAACCCCGTGTCGCATACCGAGCATCGTCGTCCTTGTCGCACACATCGCAGAATCATGGTCGCCTCGGCGTCGAGCTTCGGGACTCTCCCGCGGCCAAACGGCACGCCGCCTCCTCCCGAACCCATACAGTCGCCGCCTGGGTACACATTCCCGCGCCAGAACCTGAAGCGCCGCTTGACACAGCCCGGCAAGGTGCCTCTGGTCCTCGTCGCCTGCGGCAGCTTCTCGCCCGTGACGACGCTGCGTAAGTGGGGGCACGTGAATGCCGCAATGGCCTCTCTCTGACGCTGACGACGCTGTAGACTTGCGAATGTTTGAATTGGCGGAAAAGTACGTAAAGCAGAGCGATCCCGGCTTCGAAATCGTCGGCAACTACATGTCGCCCTGCTCCGATGCGTATCAGAAGGCATCATTAGCGCCGGCCCACCACCGGATCCAAAGTATGTTGAATATGTTGGCATCGCAAGAGAGAGAGAGGCAATTCCTTGCTCACGGTTTACCATAGTGTGCAGCCTGGCTGTCGATACAGACTCCAAGGCCACCATCACAATCGACCCGTGGGAGACGGTGCGCCTTGATGACTCAGGCAAGCCCCTCTACAGCCCAACGGTCGACGTCCTGCGTCATTTCGATCACGAGATAAACAATGTACTGGGAGGCATTGAAACTGTGGATGGCACGTTTACGCCGGCACGGATCATGCTGTTGATCGGCGCCGACCTCGCCGCTACAATGGCAGACCCCAAGATCTGGGATCCTGCCGACATTGATGTATTACTGGGGCATTACGGAGCTTTTGTCGTTGAAAGGTAATGTTCAACGAGTCTGCAGCGCAGCGAGAGCCGGATACGTGACAATGCTAATGCTTGCATCACCAGGCCCGCTCAGTGCAACATTGAGGATGCGATAAGGCCCCTCGAGAAATACAAGCATAACATCTGGGTGGTTCCGACGATTCTCAACGAAGTATCGGTAAGAGATTCCGTCACCTCTTCCCATCATCTTATGTACTCATCCAATGTGGCAGTCAACACGTGTCCGTGCGCAAATACAAAACGGAGAAAGGGTCGAGGATATTCCCGACTCAGTCTACAAATACATCAAACTGCATCGCCTATACCAGAAAGAACCCACGGCCAATGGCCGCCCCATCGAGCTCACGAATGGGAACTGAGAGACAGAATCACGACATAGACTGCATTATGTTTACAGCGTTACATTCCGATACCACCGCCATCACACATCAACCTCATTACGAGGGGCCCAGCTGCCCAAGGGCCTCGAGGCTCTCCATGGTTGTATAGAGTATGTTCGACTCTACCCGACTCACTTACACGATGTTGACATGGTATAGGTAAAGAGGGCACACCCTATAGAAGCTTGTATAGCGTTCCGTCTTGTCTTCTCTGTTGGGGCTGGGGCACTTTACTGGATTTTTTTTGGATAGTGTTGGTTATTATACGCTACAAGCGGAGGATTGTTGGGTAATACAGGATATGATATCCGGATCACAGGCTGTTTGCCTGTGTTGACTTTTGCGAATGTTATTTACCAGCGGGAAGACAAGGGAGCAGGAGGTTCTCGGGCTCGACAGAAGTTTGCGAAAACAGCTACGCATCGCATGACTTGAATGGAAGCGTTGACGACTGGCCTTTGGCCCAACCTCAGCGTCCTTCGATACAGGGACGACTGTTCTTTGCCAAAGTGGTCGGAATCCCCGAAAATCTGGAGAGATTCTGGATTGAGATTCGTGCACTGTTTCACTCCGGCTTGCTCCCGCATGCGAGATACCCGCCGTCGCCTCTGAAGTAGTACTACCTCGGCAGTCCCATGATGCTCGACACCAATCTGACTACTACCCTAGCGCAGCGGACCAAAGATCCGACCAGAAACACAGTTCATGCAAAGGGCTTTCAACGGCCACGGCAATAGCGCCATCGCGGCTATCGGATGCCTTCCAAGCGCGGGAATGACAAGTGACGAGCAAAAGAGGGACGATTGCATGGATACCCTCTGGACGAAGAAGCCCATGTCGGCAAATCTTGGCCCCCATATGATGTTAAACGAAGTACGACGTGCAGTAGCACAAAGCAAGGTATTTGATAATAAAACGCTCACTCTGATGGGATGGAGAAAAACAAGCAAGGATCTCGAACAACCACATAGATGTAGCTTTGCACTTGCACTTCTCCCCTCTCTCCCTCGCCTCGGTTGATTCATTCTGCACTGCACACACAGAAAGGAAGACAAGGTTTCACACGTACGAGTATCATTATCCCATGACTTTGTTTTCCCGCGAGTGGAGAGGCCATGGGAGTTCGCGGAATCAAAGCAATGGCTGTTTGAGCCAATCACGACAAGTTGCGCGTCTGTCAGTCAGTGCTGGGGCAGGCGTGGTGGTACATACAAGTGAGAGAAGAGACGAGGGAAGGTTGCATTCGAGAGAGACGAACTGGTGAGAGTGAGGGCGTGGGCTCTTTTCTACCTGGGGCTATGTATGTATGGACAAGGATCAATATCGGCTCGGATGTTGTGCGACTGCATTCAACCGCCGTTACACACGATCACGACGATATCCACTGCTTGTGAAGCCCATATACAATATATGATGATATTATATGATGATATTCTACGTCTTAACAGATACAGGACAAAAGATCCCCTCGTCAGGTAGATCCAGTTCGTCTGCTCTCGTCTCTGAAGATAGTACCTTGTCAATCCTGTACTCGTACATACATACACAACTCGCACTCCGTCCCATGCCGTAGGGTTGCATCCTCGCGGATCCCCAACAGGGCTCATCGTCCATCGGCCTCGTCCACCCGCCCAATCCCCGTCTCTAACCCGGGGCCCTGCGTATCCATCTGCCATCTCCGCGGCGCGCCTTTTGCGCTTCTTTTGTTTTCCCGCGCTTCCATCTCCATCCTGATTGGATCACCGCCTTGTGGCGTCTATCTACACGAAGCTCGGCTTATACGTACATACGGACGAAAGCCCCCCATCTGACTCTTTTGTGTCTTTTCTCTGCGACTTTGCGTTGGTCGCCGAGTTGCATTCTTCATCAATCCATTGCAACGAGCATGGCTTAGTGGCTTCCTCTCGTGCCGTGTCTGTTCCCACTCGCACCAAAGTGAGGAGTTTGTAAGAAAAAGAGAACAAGAGAATCCTGCCTGAAGCCCATGTCCGCCCATCGATTCCTTCCTCTGTTAGCCTGCCGCATCTTGTTCCCTCGTCTGACTGATGATGGCGAGGATCAAGGGCCATGGTTCGTATGTATAGGCTAAAAAAGAATGGGAATCCTTTCTCAGGTCGGCTCGTCAGCGAATCGCATCGCCAGACCACCACCACCACCACCACCGCCAGAGCATTACGTGCATACAGACAATTCCTGCCCTAGCCGAGAATCTTTGACGCTTCCCACTCTTTTTTGACAAGGGTACATAGACCTGACATGTGTATATTGCCTTAACTGCTACCACACACCCCTCCAATATCGCGAGAGAGTTTGGATCAGATGCATGTGTCTGTCACCACCATGAGGGTAGCATCCACTCAAACCAACTTCGCCACTTTTTTCGTGTGCCGTTCAAAGTCCTACGGCCCCTTGCCCGGGGGATCCATTCCGACATGCACGAACTATCTGTATGTACGGAACACGTACAAGTACGAGGACGTTTATTAGTACATACTGCTAGAACCAACATACCGTCGTCGTGATGTCCCAATGGGGGTTACCGTGTAAATACACCTTCCATGGATATTACAGTCCTCTCGCAAGTGGCGTTGTTCCCATGTGTCGTATAACTATTCCCGCCGGCCACGTTCTCGTTGAACATGTTCGTCCACCCCCATCGCCTGTCTTGCCGAGATAGGGTTGATCAGCTCAAACTACATCGATCCTTTTCTGTCTGTATCATCATCACGCAAAAGGCGGGTGAGTTGATACTCGGCAGCGGATTCGATATTCAGCCCTACAAGTGAGCAGGCAATCTCGGCAATCAACTCCTTCAAACAAACCCCATACAAGCTCGCCCTTATAGTATCAGCTTCTTAAAAGGATTCATATGAAACGACACTCCAACATGATCTCCTCAATACACCTCTCCCTCCTCATCCTCCTCGCCGACACAAAGGCCACCCAAGCCCTCACAATCACCCCAAGAGACTCATCCTCCTCCCAAACCCTCCCCCTATCCGTCATCATCGGCATCAGCATCGCCGTCATCGCCATCTTCGCCCTCGCGACAACCCTATTCGTCATCTACTTCGCCCGCCAGGCCCCCTCCTCCCCGTTCCTGCACCAGCAGCGCCGCTACTACAGGCACGAGTTCGTCGTCTCCCCCAAGGACCTCGTCGAGCCATGGAGCTACGTCGTCAACAACAACAGCGCCAACCGCTCTCCTCTCCACGGCGGCGGCGTCGTCGTTGGCGGCGGCGGCGGCGTCGTCGTTGGCGGCGGCGGCGGCGTCGTCGTTGAAGTCGATGGCAAGGGCGCGACGACGACGGCGGCGGCGAAACCCCCTGCCCGCTTCAGCATCATCCAACTCACCCACGATCCCCGATCCGCCGTCCACGGCCCCGACAACGCCATGCCCGCTCACCACGCCTACGATCCCAACACCGTCTCAAGATCCCCGAACCATCTTCAAGGCGGCAGCAGCAGCAGCACGTCAGCAGGCCCTCTGTCACCGCCACAGCCGGCCCACAGACTCAGGCCAAGCACGCCGGACTCATTCATCATCCAGTCCTACAAATCCGTCGTCGAAGACGCCGCCCGCCAGTCCTCCTCCAACAACCGCCAATCTCTCCCTTCACCTGCAGCAGCAGCAACACTCCCGTCTCCTCCAGAACCCTCGCCCTCTTTACCAACAGGGGGGACAACAAGAAGAGCCTCCTCTCTCTGGAGCTCCAGGCTCTCCTCTCTGTCTCTCCCCAAAATCCAGCTCCCCAGGAGAAACAGGCCCCCTCGCCTGAATCTTCTCGCACTGCAGCCTCTCGCCATGGGAAAAGGAACTGCTGCTGACGGCGAGATGCACATCACTCCTCCGCTGCTCAACGACCCGAGATTCGTCGACAGGCCGCTTGGCGCGGGGGTTGTCGTCATCGAACGAAATCCTCTGCCCTCTCCCGACGACGCTGAAAAGTACGCGGCTTACACGGAAGTTCCTCTGCCCAGCGGGAAGAGCGAATTGTACGGGATGTAAGGGGGGGCAATATGTCTTCTCCCTCTTCCTTCTAGAAACACTTACCTCTACACTCACACGCTCTTTTTTTTCTTCCTTTCCTTTGTTCGTTTCATAACAATTCATATGGGTGGCTAAGCGATGTAACATTCTTGGATACTTGTTCAAGGGAGTGGTTTGGTGGCTTTTGTCTTTTATACGGCGTTGGATTCGTGCGAGGTTATTCAGCCATGGGACATGGCCGTCAATCTTTTATACCCCGGAGACATCAAGGCGTTGTTGGTTTCAGTCAATGTATTTAATGTTATAACATCATGTTAATTGTTTATTCTCAAGCTCCAGTGGCCATGACATGGCGTCTGTACAACCCGTAGCAATGAATATTCGTACATGTGTATCGTCACAACATCACCACAGCATGGTTGATAAGTCTTCATTGATGAAAAGACAGCTGTTCCGCATGCCTTGTATTATCACTACTTGCATCAGCCCAGACGGTGGCCAGGTCCTCTAGTCCGCCACGAGTCTGGTAATGGTCCGCGAGAAGCACCGCTGCTTCGAGCAGAGGCTGTATCGGGCATCCTCGCTCCAACTGCTGGCCGTGGCGGTCCTGGGGCAACCCCATTCACAAGCCTGGTGATGAACGCAGGAGTCTCGAGCCAGTTCCGGCCGCCACCAATCTCGGGCCAGATCTTGGTCAAGAACAGATAGAGGTGCGCCGCAGCCAGCCCGTGAAGCTGCAACAACACTATGCCAATTCCTCCAGGGAAGAAAAGGTTGATGGCCATCATGGCAAAGGGCACAAGCTGAGACGGGATGTTGATGAACATGTAGTTCGTCTGCTGGCCTCGCTGCTCCTGGGTTACGGTATACGCCATGGCGAGAATGAGCGCCTGCGTAAGCATTGGAAACTGGAAGCCGGACAGGTGACTGAGTATCTGAAGCCAGAGTCAGCCTCAAATCACGAGCGATGGCGGGGCAACACGGGAGAGGGAACATGCACAAGGGAGATGATTAGGGAAGAAATGTAGGGAGCATATAAAAACCACTCGCGTGAATAGAGCAAACCACACGAGCCATCCATTACGACATCCCACCATGCCTACACCGCAAGCCGGTCCTTTTTGCGAATGAGTGGACCGACTCGAAGTGCAGGGGTAATCTCCCTCAATTCCAGGAACCGTGATAGCAGTAGAGGCATCGCACTATCCGGGCAGATATTTTGAGGGGTTTTCATCGGGGTACACGGGAGAGCACATGGGAGAGTGAGGCAAAAGACCTACCAGGATTGTTCCGCATATGAACGTCAGGTACCAGACAAGATCTTCTCGTCTAGACAGTCGCGGATGACCCTTTTCCAGTTGACTCATGTACATGTACATGTGGAAAGTGTCGAACAGGATACCCAAGTTTGGGAACGTAATGAAGAAGCACGTTACGAGGCGCCATAGCTGCGGAGGAACCCGCAGAATGCGGCCAGCGTCATAAGCGAAGAAGCTCCCATCAAGGACTCCCATGTACACAGCGACAGACAGGCCAAACGTAGCAGTCGCGACAGTTCTGTGAAGGAAGAGTCAGCTCAGACTTCCCGGTAAACTCACACTCGGTAAAAACGTTGAGGGAGAGTCATCCTTACCTAGCAATTGGTGGCGCTCGCCAGTACGCATCCATAGAAAGCTCTGCCATTGTGGGCAACTTTGCTCAAGGCGAGAGCGGAAATCCTCAGGCTTGCGGACGTAAGGAGGAGAGAAGATGCAGAGACACACCCAGAGCGCTTAAAATAAATCATGAACTGCAAAGTGAACAGCAAAGCAAAGACGCGGCAGCACCAGGCAACAACGGGAGCCTAATCATTGCTGGGTTTGCCCTGGTCAAGCTTCTTCCTTTTTTTGTTTGTTGCTGCTGTGGAACAGAAAAGAACATTGTGTCCAAAAGTTTCTGCGTCGGCTTTTGTCATCCGAGCTTTGGCTTGTATTGTTTAGATGCATATGCCGCTTATTAGGGCGCGTACCTGCAGCTTGTACCCACAACCAAGGGCATTTTTCAAGGCGGCTTGTCGTTCGCGTGCTGCAAAATTCAATTGGTGCCAGTCTCACGTGAGGAGAATGGGCAAAAGACTTGCCCTGCAGCTGTAATCGTACTCCTTGTGGTGAAGTTGTTTGGGTTGTCTGATAGTCATATCGACCAGGAGTATCCAGGAATATACTTGAAGAATTCAATGACTGAATCATCAAGAGGTACAAAAGCAACCTGTTCCTGCGAGAGAATTGCGGGAGAGTTCGAGTACTAGTACCTGTAGCCGCATGCTTCTACCGTACTTCGTAGAGCATTTTGTATTATTCGACAGCCTCCACCACACAAGAAAACGGAAAGCTCGAAATACCACAGTTCAAGTTGCAAAGAGCTCACAATAAACATCAAAGAGCAGATAAAATGTACTTTCTATGTGTCATAGCCCTGAAGATGAGGAACTCAAGACTCAATTCTCGTACGAGGCGGATGGCTCTTGTGGAGAAAACAGCTACCCTGAAGCTCTCTTGTTTTTTCCCTGTACGTTATGACGTACAATATAGTACATAGAGCTCGGAGCATCGGCATTCCTAGATCTCACGCTGTCGATTTCGATGCGAACCTGGCATTCTCTCGAGGCAAATCTGCATATCCGTAACACTCGTGGATAATAGAGACTGGGTTCCCCCATCTTCAAACCCCGACCGCAAACTCCCTCCTTGACTTGAGCTTCGAGCACCAAAGCATTACCCATCCAATTTTCTTGTCCTCACACAAGTCTCAGTCTCCTCCTCAGCGCCAAAAAGATGCCCACCCAAGTCTCCCCTCACGACCCCCTAAAGAGCGACGAAGCCAATGACGCCGGATGGGAAGCCGGCAAAGGAGGCCTCATCGGAGCCGCCAAATGGGGCGTTGGAGCGGCAATCCTGGGCGGCGCGGCGTATTTCTGGTCGCCAGTCTACCGCAAGACCACCATCCAATTCAAGGTGTAGGGAACAAACACCAGTTTGACGGGTAGACGCATTGGGCTCACATAATCAACAGTTATGTCCAGATGTCAGCAATGGTCCTCGGAGGCATGATCTCGGCAGACCAGCGCCTGAGGCAATATGAAGCCCAGGTAAGAGCTCAACGAAGGTGGCTCAAGGAGAAGGCCAAGTGGGATAGATACGAGCAGGAGGTTGCACAGAACAACGGTAAATGAAGAATGACCTCAGTCAAGGCTATAAGCTTGATCATGTACATAGCATCATCCGATGATACCCAAATGCATCACACTGTAAATCATCTCCCTCTGCCAACGCCCAAGAAGCCGAAATATCCCCACGAGAAAAAGACGAAATCGCTAACTGCATTCCCTTGACCATGGCATCCCCTTCTGTGCTATTTTGACTGCGGCTTAAATCTCTTCGGGTCCATGTTGAGCTTACATAGACGAGCCACGCATCCAGACAGCTGAAGTAATGTCTGAACGCCCTCCAGAATCTTCATATGTGTGAAGCCAATCTCCTTGATGAATTCCAGCTTCGAGTGCTCGCTAAGCGTCGGCATCGTCTTGGTGACCTTGAACATCGTACTGATAATATCGTGGCTCGAGTATCCCAGATCCCACAGCTCCCGGAGCGTATCCAAGGCTGAGTCGACGTTGCCCTCGTAACAAGCCTTCAGCATGGCCTGCACCTTGATCGGGTGCGGTGAGTCGACCACCTTGAAGACGTTGTCGCCTGAGACGAAGCCGAAACCGGCCCATGTTGACTGCAGGTTGTTGATGGCCTGTCGCATATCTCCCTCTGCACTGAACACCAAGGCGGCCAAGCCATCGTCGCTGTATTCCACCTTCTCTGCCTCGATTATCTGCAGTAGCCGCTTCACGACTTGGTCCTCCGTCAGCTTGGCGTATCGAAGGATTGCGCATCGTGACTGCAGCGGCTCGATGATCTTGTTGGACTGGTTGCAAGCAAAGGCGAATCGAGTCGTATTGGAGTAGATTTCCATGGTTCTCCGCAGAGCCTGCTGGGCACCGGAGGTCATGCTGTCGGCTTCGTCGAGAATGACGAGCTTGTGCCTACCGGGAGGCAGGGTAACTTTCTTCTGCGCAAAGCCCTTGATGCGGTTACGAACAACGTCAATACCTATGTGACAAAACGTTAGTGCCGACCACTGGCTAATTGTGCGTCGAGATGACAAGAAACGAGACCGACGTACCGCGTTCGTCACTGGCATTGAGCTCCAAGACGGCCTCCTTGTACGATTCCCCCAGCAACTGGCGGGCAAGGCAGAGGACACTGGTCGTCTTTCCAATGCCGGGCATGCCTGATATGATGACATGGGGCATATTGCCCTCCTTGGCTATGATCTTTAAGCGCTCAATCGTCTCTGTGTTGCCGACGACATCGTCCAGGAACACCGGGCGATACTTTTCCACCCTGAACACATATCCCGTCAATACTAGATTCAGTTCGGATTGACACTCCTGCTTCAACATACCACGGTAGCTCATAATTCGGTGATCCATTGGAGGAAGCCGCAAGCGCTGCCTTTGACGTGGCGTTTGAGGACTCGCCCTTTTCCTCTGGCTTTGCGGCAGGCATTTTGGCTGTAGTGGTGAGATATAGAAATCACTTTACGCGATCCGGAAGACGCGTCGAGACGGTTTAGAAGCTCTGCAACTGGATTTTAGTGGGAACCTGAACCGCGGGAGCTGCCTTACAGCGGTACGAAGATACGAAGGTACATGCACCGAGCAGACAAGAACCTTGAACAGAAGTGGCCCGTGCGCAGCCGCCGCCATCCGCAAGTTCTTATCGATAGCATATCATTCCAGCATTTTTTTTGGACGCTGATCGCCATCGGCTTCCAACGACGGACTGCTCTTGGAAGGACCAAACCATCCGCAACCAACCTCGCCTCAAGTCATCTCTCACTCCCACAGTACCCCTTTCACCGAGATCCTACGAGACTTCGAATCACCGGAAACCGCACGCCAATTGTTATCCATTCGTCGGCCGCTCTAATAACGCCATCATGGGTGTCGCGAAGAAGACGAGAAAGTTTGGACAGGTCAGTCCTCTACTACCAAGCAACTCGATTCACTTCTTACTCTTATACTGACCCTTTGAGCCAGGTCAAACGAGTCATGGGACTGAAGGACACCCGACTCAAGGAGAACCGACTGAAGGAGGAGCTCAAGCAGAAAGAACAGGCTGCCAAGAGGACAGTAGGAGGCGAAGTCGTCAAAGAGGTTGCCCAGATGCCGAGCGGCATGTATTTCGCTCACAACACGAACATCAGCCCGCCATACAACGTTCTCGGTAAGTGCACATACCCGCGGTTGCTACCCCCCCGGGCCTCTGAGATTCAATGCTAACGGTGCGTCTGATCGTTGGTAGTCGACACAAACTTCCTAAGTCATACCGTCCAGCGGAAACTGTCCTTACTCGAATCCATGATGGACTGCCTCTACGCAAAGTGCAACCCCATCATCACCTCCTGCGTCATGGCCGAGCTCGAGAAACTGGGGACCAAGTACAGACTGGCGCTGAAGATTGCCCGCGACGAGAGGTGGCAGCGGATACAGTGCGACCACAAGGGCACATATGCAGACGACTGCATCGTGGACCGGGTCACCAAAGACAGGATATACATCGTGGGCACCAACGACAAGGCGCTGAAGCAGAGGCTACGCAAGATTCCTGGCGTTCCCATCATGAGCGTGGCAAGGGGCAAATATGTAATAGAGAGGCTGCCGGGAGCGCTGCCTTCATGACGAATTTAGGGGTTAAAGCATTGTATTGTCTTACATTTTCTATTTTTCCTTCATCTCTTCTTCAACTTCTGTTGATCCTTACCTCTCGGTCCCATTGGTTGCGCAACTCGCAACTTGGAGTTTAGCGAAGTCCGAGAAATCTTACTGCTTATATAATACCGGCCATGGAACGTTATACTCGGCCTTTGTCGTCACAAGCTCGTAGCTCAACTTTCAGCCCCTCGAATCGAACTGCGATTCTGTTAAATAGGCTTCGTCGCTGTCAGCCGTTTGTCCTCTTTGGTGTGCTGCTAAGTTGTGTTAAGCATATATCGGGCACCCGTTGTGGCGCGTAAGCTTCTCAGAACAAGAAAGCGGCTCTCATGCTGTTCAGCCCTGTCACCGCAAACTAACATCCGCCAACAAGTCTTGCAAGAACTACAGTTACCAGAAACTCACAGACAAGGAACGCTGAGGAAAGCTCGAGCATTCCCCAAAATGGACATGGACGTAACCTCCGGAAACTCCGGCTCTCTCACAAAGAAGCGCACCCGCATTCTCCTCTCATGCGCGCCCTGTCGCAACTCGAAGCTCAAGTGTGACCGCGAACAGCCATGCGGGCAGTGCGCAAAAAAGGGTCGCCTGGACCTGTGCGTCTATGCGCCCAAGCCGGAGAAGAAGAGGCCGGCGGCCAAGGGCATGGCGGCCCGGCTCAAGAGGCTCGAGGGCATGGTGCGAGGCATGATGGACGAAGAGGGCAACTTCAAGCGGCAGCCCCAGGCGGCGGGCGAGAGCACGGCGCCGCAGTTGAAGGGGCAGGTTATCCACGGAGAGAATGCGACGACGTATGTTGGGGCGACTCATTGCTTGGCGATGCTTGAGGATGTAAGTTGATGAGGAGTTGAGAGATGCCATGGAAAAGAAACGGAGAGACGATGAAGCTAACGGGTGGTGCAGATCGAAGACATCAAGGCCTACTTTGATGACCCCGGAGACTCGGATGACGACGCCCTGCCGGGGGATGAGCTGGACGGGCCGGAATTGCTTCTCTATTCGAGAGGGGCTCCGAGTAATCGAGAAGAGCTTCTTGCCCAGCTGCCCGAAAGGAATGTTGCGGACCGGCTCGTCACGCGGTATTTCTCATCCAGGAGCCCATCTCAACGTCAGTACAGCCATCCAACTCCTATTGACCAACGAGCTCACACGGATTATTATCCATCGAATGCTGTTGAAGCTGACTTACGAATCGCAGACATCCTTCACCGTCCGACATTCACAAAAGCAGTAAGTCAATGAGGAAATCTCGGCCAGCATGAGCCAACTGTACCCTTCTCTAATATCAGTTTTGCTCAAGTATGTGCAATTCTGGCAAAACCCAAGTGCAGTTTCCCTCCACTGGATAGCCGTCCTCTTCATGGTCCTCTCCCTCGGAGTCTTCTTCAACAACTTCTCCGCCCCCGACGAGGTCGAAAGCGACTCCCCGATATCCGTCAAGGACAGAATCAGACAATACCGCTCATGCGCCGGCTGGGCCTTGATATGGGGCAAGTACTCCCAGCCAACCGCCATCACGATCCCCGCCTTCATCCTCTACGTCGAAGCCGACTTCATCCTCAACCGCGCGGCCCAGATGAACTGCTACATCCTGTCGGGCGTCTGCCTGCGGCTGATGCTCAAGATGGGCTATCACCGGGATCCCTCCCATCTGGCGAGCATCTCGCCGTATGAAGGGGAGATGCGGCGCAGGCAGTGGAACATGGCTGCCCAGATCGACCTCCTCGTTTCCTTCCACATGGGGCTCCCGAGCATGGTGACCGGCATCGAATCGGACACGGAACTGCCCCGGAACCTGGAAGACGACGACTTTGACGAAAACTGCAAGGAGCTCCCGCCACCGCGGCCCGACACCGTCTACACGTTCATGACCTACGCCATCCACAAGTCCAGGCTCCTCCGCGTCTTCAGACAAATCGCCCAGCAGGCGCACGCCCTGACACCACCAAGCTACAGCGACGTCCTCAACCTCGACAACCTCCTCACCGAAACCTGGAACAGCGTCCCCTCGTTCATGCACGTGAAGCCACTCGAAGAGTGCGTCGGCGAGGAGCCCCATCAGATCATCCAGCGATACGGACTCGCGTCCCTCTACCACAAGAGCCGCTGCGTCCTCCACCGCCGCTATCTGGCGGAAGCCGTACCGAAGCCCGAGCACGATTACTCCCGGAACCAGTGTCTGGATGCCGCTACGGCGCTGCTGGACTTTCAATACGCTTCTTGGGTGGGATGTCAGCCTGGCAATGTCCTCGGCCGCTCGGGCTGGTTCATGAGTTCCCTCGCCGTGCACGACTTCATGCTGGCTGCCATGATCTTGTATCTCATCGTTCAGAACGACAACTATCTGGAAGATGGCACCGGTTTCGGCACGGCGGGCAGACAACGAGAAGCACCAACCAAGGAACAGCTGATCGGCATGATCCAAAGGTCACACTACATCAGCTGTCGAGTCTTCAACAGATTGACAGACCTGAGGAAGACGGCAGATACCTTGGCCGTCATGCTGGCCAAACTCGGTAGACCCGTGGAACGGAACTCACCCGCCTCATCAAGCACACCGTACCCACCATCCGGAAGGGAGTCGACCAGCAGATCAACGTCTAGTCAGGCAGTATCCCAAGAGGCCGTTGGGTACGCGTCTGATTATCCCACAAGCAGACTCGAAGGTTTGTTTGCATACTCCCAGTCCAGTAAGGCTGCAGATTGCTAAGAGAACTATAGGCTCAGGCTCAAGCTCCCGCCAGACACCATTCTCTCAGGGCCAAGCAGTCACCACCGCAGCTGGTGTGGGAACCATACCCGGCCACAGCAGTACCACTGCACCGGTGACAAACAGCATCAACCAGTTTGACATGTCCTGGATGCTATCCGTGGATAACGTAGACTGGGTAAGCCCTCCACCCCTTGATCATTCACCATCTTCGGCTGAATCAATGGATGACGCTGCTGGACACAGCTAATCAGTGAGAATAGAGACACTTGGATGCTTCTATCGGGCAGAACACGATGGATGGTGGCTCGGGTAACAGTGCGCCTCAGTCATGGATAGAGAGACTGCCGCTGGACGATGTGGACATGATGACGGCTGATATTTGGAATTTGCCTCCTGGGGCTGGTCCTGGTCCTCAATGAGCTTAAGCATCGCAAGTCAAACGAAAACATGGCAGAGACCCGTGAGCCGCTTTGTGCAGTGAAACAAGACGCCCGCTCTCAAAGTTGGCCACCTCTACTCCTAACGAAGGGACATCCATGATTGTCAAGCCTACGAGGCAAAATAGTAGTACTCCTGATGAAGACGAAACCTGACGTCCTGTTACGCCAAGTCCAGTCAGGTTAGTGTCCACCGCAGTAAACCAGTGAGTAGTTGTACAACGTTCGTCGCAACGTCTTCCTCCGTCTCCCCTCCCATACCTCGATGCAATATATCTTTTCTTGCCAAAAAGGGATCCGCGACGGGAGGATGCAATTACTTGACACACACGCAGGCAAATGTGCAGTTCACTGTGGCGGTTTCCCCACAAGCTGGACATCCGTCTTGATAACACAAGTCAGGAAATGTCACCTGGGGTGCTACGCCAACAATAGTCGGAGGGCGTCTTTTCAAATAACCGTTGATAGCACCGTACCATCGGATAAAGAGGGGAGAGCCGATGGATGCAGTGGCTGGGTTCGTCAGATCCAGCATTAGTTCAAGCCCAGCTTGCTTTGAATTTCGTCTGCTTGTAGGAGAAGGAACAGGCGTCTGCAGCAGATAATAGAAAGGCCCTGCGAACTATGCGCCGGTTCGTGTCCTTTCAAGCACTTTGGCACTCGGCTCGTCGCAGGGGGTGCGATGGTCGTCCAAAAGTGCTATATGTTGGCTCGGGAATCAAATACCAGCATAGGGTGGCAACGGTCGTCATCTCAGATGGAGGATTGACACTGCTGCACTCCATAGACAAGTTTCACCGCGGTAGGGACCGAACCGCAACAAGGAGTTGAAGCGCACGCGAGCTAATGCATAAGATAGGCCGAGTCGCGGCAACATACCCCTCCTCATAGTGTACAGAGTACGAAGTAGTACTTCATTGTAGCACTCGGTACATGATGTATCCTCGTCTGCGGTGCTCGCTAGAGATTGTCGGATCGACAATCTTGCTTGTGTCTTTGTTGAGCTGGGAAGGGGCTGAAGCTTACCGTGTTCTGTACCCCCTAAGACTTGTTTGCTGTCTCTGTGAAGACGGCGCCAAAGAAGCTCACGAGGACAGCAAAATGAGCTAGACAATAAATGGGGGCATTCGTATTTGCAATTGCCTGCAGGAGAGGCGGGGGAAGAGACGAACAAGCTTGTAGCACTCCGTAGACGTTGTAGCATAGCTCGAGATCTGGAGGTTGAGCGTCGGCTAGAAGAGCGGTTCGTGGGTACTGTCTTAGACCATATGAAATCACAACCCTGTCACTAGTGATCCCCCATCCGCTTATAGGCGCAATTAGATCAAGCACTAAGGAAGAGAAAAGAAACGAAAGAGAGAAAAGATCAAGAGAGATGATAGGCAGTGGCGGGAAGCAGGTTGGCATCAGCATGGAGAAGCCGCATCGACGGCGTACCGCGGCCTGTCGGAACGCCGCAATATCTCAACGAGGCGCCGCAGCCACTCACAGGCCATGTAAAATAGCGAATGACACGTCAAGAAGTAAACGGAAAGGCGAAGTAACCGCAGGCGATTGGCCGTGCAAATAGCTGCGCACACACGCAGGCGACCAATACGGGCTATACGCAGCCAAAGCTTCATCAACAAGGCAAGGGCAGCTCATGGCCGTCACATTTATGGAGCTGCCTGTACTTGAAGCACCTTGAGGGCACAGTTAGAACGGAAGGGAGCCGAGGAAACCCTTGACCAGCAGGGAGGAACGAGAAAAAATCAAAGAAAAAAAAAAAAAAAAATCATCACAGGTCTGATGACCCGAGCTCCAGATCGATCGATGACGGTCCAGGCCGGACAAGGAGCGAGAAAAATTTCGAGAGATGGACCAACGGCAACCAGGCGATTCTGAAGCAACTGAGGATATGAGCAATGGAATGAGGTTAACGAAATCATCTGACTGGAGAGCCGGGGCAAAAATTTACCTAATCCTAACTCTCCTTGCCGCCTGGGTATTTTGCGTGTACTAGTATCCGCCGCCCTTGGCCCTGGGGTCGACCTCCGACTTGAACCTCGCTGAACCTGGAACGTGGAAACGTGGGCAGCGGTAACGAGAGCTAATGCAAATAGGCCGAGCGCCGGAAAGGCGGGAGAGCGCAGCCCAGCGGTCGTAGTGGTATTGCTTAGGTGTCGAGGTGCCGGTATGAAAAATATGGAGTTGCACGGTGGATGGAAGCTGTAGGAAGCCGGGAGGATTTTTCTCTTCTCCTTCTTTCTAGGTTGTTTGCTTCTTTCCTTTCCCGGGTTCTGCTTATTCATGGCGCCTGCAGCCTGAGTCGATTGCCAGAAGATCCTTCCCCGTTCCTTCCTAGAGCCAATGGCCCGATCCTATGCTTCTAGAGATGCTGTAGATAAGGATAAGGCAGATAGCCGCGTCGAGTTGTTATCTCGCACACCTCAACCGCAAAAGGACCAAACGGGCACATGCCTCACGCCTTCTCGCCCAAAGTACTTGTACAAACTCGCTGGTCCGATGCCGCAATCCACCGCCGGTATTGTCTCAGCATTACTATCCGGGCCTCGTCTTGCAGTGCAGAGAACGACATGTAAGCTGCCGCAATTTACTAGGCAGCACGCACCGTACCGCATCCAGAGCCGCTGCACGGAGTACCGGGCCCATGTGCCACAGCCTCTGCTCCGAATCTCTGAGGAGCGCGTGACAGGTTCCGGGTCAGCACGTCCGGGTACGTGTAGCCCTGGCGCTGTCACCGTGCTCCATATCCCTTTTACTCCAGCAGAGGCGCAGGGCATGCAACTGCTTTACTATGCAGGGAGTGATATACGGAGTAAGAATACGGATAGGGGCTATGGACTATTATCTCCATAGTACGTAGCGGGCACACGTTGCTGAGGAGCGCAGTCTCATTAGTGATGCGGCAAGTTCCCCGAGTTTTGATGGAGAACCTCGCGGTCATGCACTTCAAGTCATGCCCCAGTCCCGTACGAAGTAGACCCCTTTGACCCCCAAGCTATTTAATTCCCTGCAGAAAAAGGCAGAAGTGCAGGCACCGGCAAGTTCAGTGGAACTCGGGGAGACCCGTTGGCCGTCCTTTTGTTGGTGTTCTTTGGAAGCTCGTCGTCGGCTGACCTTTTGTCGCCCGTCTTTCATGCCGCAAGTCACAGTGCACGATATTGACCTGAATAACACCGAATGACAGCATGGGAAACCGTCTATAGCTCTACGCACACTGTAGCATGCATCTTGTGCTCCCTTTCTGCCTCTATTAGCGCTGCCGATGCCATTGGTGGCAGTTGCCCGACTATCTAATGGCATGTAGTAATACAGATAAACGGCGTGTCCTTGAGCAAGCCCTTTGCCAGCGCCCTTGCGCCTCATCCGCGGAGTTGCATGGAGCCAAGGCGCAAAACAAGAAAATCCTAGAGGCGATTTCATTTAGCGACACCGCCCGATTGGCTGGCCCCAGACAATCTTCAGGCAAGAGGTGAGAAAACACAACATCATCTCGTTCATCAACTGGACATGCATCGTGCATGGGATTCTCGACTGACCTGATGCGAACGGCACAGCATGAACGTCTCTTGCCAGAAGCGAAGAATCAAGCCGTGGCTAGCCTCGTTCCGGTCGTGTCGTTCCACACGTGTACGAGTACCTTTATGGATCGACTTTTCACTGTACGGTAAAGAATTTGGAGCAAATCAGGCCGTTGCGAGCTGCATCAACGCCTCTGAGTGGTCGAAAGTCTGTACAGGTACGAGCATGTTACGTAGCACTTTGCTTGGCCCGGATCTAATCAGATGTTGCCCGTTTGTGCACGGTACTCCATACAGGGGCCCATGATGACGGAGATCGGGGCTAGCCAACTCAAAATAAAGACGGGTACCTCTACCAGACGGTACTTCGTTCCTAGCGGTCTCACTCCGTGCCTGTTGATAGCGGCTCGAGAGGGTCTGCGAACTTTTTTCTCCCCTTCCCGCCTTTCCTTTGTCCCACTGCCCTTCTTCCATCTTCGAACCCTTTTTGCTTCTTGCCGTCGTTAGCCATGGCAGATGCTCTGGGGGTTTAGGGCTCGACTCCTCCTCCCCCCGTTTTTCCCAACCGCGAAGTGACTAGCGGCAGTGGTACCGTATCGAGTACCTTGCAGTAGAAGATGGCCCCGTGAGGCTCTCGTTAAGGTACTTGCCCGCAGACGGAGGTGGTACCAGCGCGCCGCACAAAAGTTCTGGTACCTGGTACGGCTGCTGCGAGTTGCTTCTCGCGGGGTCCAGAGCGGTACCTGTACTTGTTCCTGTGGCAGGTGGACTGCCGCCGGCTCCGACCTTCGCTCCTGCTGCTCTGGGCGAGGCAAGGGGTGCCGTCATTTTGCATCGCGGTTGACTTCAGTCGCTCGGAACTCACAAGTACCTTCCACTGTCTGTAGAAAAGATTCTATTACCTGTATAGGCGTAAGAATCCGAAGTGCTATTAGTAGTATTACGTCCTGATATATCAACTTTTGCCGCCATCGACGCAATTCCATCCCTCTCGCGTTCATTTACCTGTCCGTCTTTGTTCGCCCTACCCCAACATCATGTCTCAGCCGTCGTCGCCTTATCTGTACCGAATCAGTGCCTGGTGATGCCAAAGTGACCAGACAGGGTACATGGAATTTGCCTGATTACAGTGCTGCGTACCTTACGTCGCACCTCCAGATTCGAATCCTCCCCTCCATCTCGAGATCCGACATCCCAACAGCCAAAAGCACCCCCCTCCTCATCCCTTATCGCCCGGCCACCCATCCGCAGAACTCGCGCTTCCTATTAGCCCGCCATCCATCTGACTGGTTTCAGCGCGTGGCCGTCATTTCATTTCAAGTAAGAAATTGCCATACATTCTTAAAGAGCCTTGGCGTGGCGAGCCCAGCGTCAACTAACCCCAATCTTTTCCCTTCCTCGAACAGAGCTAGTCGGCCAATTCGCGCGAGCTAAATCGACCGCAAGCCGCTGTTCTTATCGGGGTAAAAAAAAAAAGTAGAGAGCCCCTCCATGATTCGAAGACGCATCCCGTCTCGCTTCGTTGCAGTTTCCAACGAGTAGGATCGTGGATTCTGCCTTTTACACTGCTTCGAGCACGGCATCACCTGCGCAGCAACAGCGTCTCGAACCCCCTTTGTCTCGCCATACTATCATAGCCTCGCCCACTGGCAATCCCGGTTACCGTCATCGGCCCCTGCGACCAATCGCAACTCGCATTTCCGCCTCTTCTTACTCATTCGCCCACCGCTCTCGAAGCATCCGCAGCTTGTCCCCCGGACTTGCTGCTGTGTTACCGGCCCAGACTCGACAAGTTTGACACCGAGACTCGCCAAGCTGCCCTCCTGGGAGTCGCACATTGGACCAGAGACATCAATCTATCACCAGTTCAAGACACTTTGCTGTACGCCGCTTCCTGCCGCCGGCATTGACCCTGCTATTACATATAGTACCTCTTCCTCGTCTTCACCTTCTTCTTCTACTATTCCCTTCTACTCCCTCCACCACGATTGGCACTGCTACCACCATCATCACCGCCACCGACCTACCTACCACACGTCTTACAAGTATTACCGCCCTCGGTGCTTGTCCTCCCACGCTCGTCCGTCCAGACAGCCCACGGCCCACGGCCCACGCCCGACGATCCACTGTCATACTTCGCTTTTACGTACAGGCTATCCGCTCCGGTCTATGAGCTGAGAGACAAGCCCTACTGACCTCTGCATCCCCCACCATCAAAACCGCAACCTGGGAGACTGCCTCTGTTCTACAGGCAGGCTGGCGCGTCCGGATAACGGTGGCCTCGCCTGTCGAATAAATACTACACTGCTTGCGTCGGAGCAATCATATCGCTGCGTCGGCGATCAATTCCACTCGGCTTCGGCTTGACTACCTGCGACAGCGAACGGAGCCATGCCGGCACAAATCAACGGATCCGTAACGGGCGCCCTACCCATCCATATCGCGACCGACCAAGCAAACGGCTTCCATAAGCAGCATAAGCACTCGCGATCCTCTTATTCAGAATCTTCCCCTCTGGCAAATTCGAGGAACAATTCTTTGACCTTTCGCCCTACCAAGCGGTTCATGTCTGCCCCGAAGACGATCGCCGTTATAAACGCCAGTGGCCGCCAAGCTGCGTCTCTGATTCGCGTGGCGACTGCTGTCGGCTACCATGTTCGCGCACAGCTCAGGAACCTCGAAGGAGTCGTCGCCACGGAGGTGTCCACCAATCCCAACGTCACCGTCTTCGTCGGCGAACTCTATACAAGACACCAGCCTACCAAGGAGAACAAGGATGTAACCCAGAATGGCCCAATGCCGGGTGTGGGCGTCAACCATGAGCTGATTGAAAACCTGTTCCGCGGCGCACAGCTTGCTTTTATCAATACCACATTTTACGGCGACGAACTGCAGATTGGCAAGGCCCTGGCCGATGCAGCCAAGCGGGCCAATATCCAACACTACATCTACTCGTCCATGCCCGACCACTCAGCATACAACCCCGAGTGGCCGTCGTTGCCTCTGTGGGCGGCCAAGCACAAAGTCGAGGAGTATGTGAGAGAACTGGGACTGCCCGCCACCTTTGTCTACACCGGAATCTACAACAACAACTTCACTTCGCTACTATACCCCTTATTCTGCATGGAGCTGCAACCGGACGGTTCTTTCACTTGGCAGGCGCCCTTCCACGAAGATGTCAAGCTCCCCTGGTTGGATGCCGAACACGACGTTGGGCCTGCTGTTATTCAGCTTTTCAAAGACGGCGTCTCCAAGTGGGCAGGAGAGCGTATCGCCTTGGCATACGAATACCTCACTCCGATTGAAGCTTGCCAGCTGTTTGCTCGCGGAGTCGGCCGCCCCGTGCGCTACATAAGAGGGCCCATTGAGATCAAAGTTCGCATACCCACAGGCTATCGAGAACAGCTGGAAGCTCTGGAGAAGCTCTTTGATTATACCGAAAAGGACCCTTCGAAGCAGCCTCCGTACTTCGGCGACCCAAAGCTGGAAGCCAGCTGCCCCCGGGAAGCGCTGGAGCTGTGGGAGGGCCCTCGCGGATTAGAAGAATACGCAAGAGAAATGTTCCCGCTGGAAGAAGAAGCAAACGGCCTCACGTGGATGTTTGAGGAAGAGGATGACCAAGAAGCCCGGATCCAGGCCACGACAACCTCTGTGGAGAATTTGAGAATCCAGGATGATGTTGATGACGACTCATCCGACGATGATGAGGACGAGGGGCTTGTCATGCGCGGCCTGAAGCGAGCCGAGGAGAGTTGGCTCGCATGAAGAAGAGGACTGAGACCGAGGTACATTTCCACCCTCTGACAGCTTCCTCAGTAGGCGTCATTGGATGGATTGTGATTTGCTACTTGCGGACCTTGACATTTGTACCGACATGAATCTGGAGCTACGGAATGAGTCGAATGGTGTTGGAGCACGGTTTCATTACCTTTCCACTTTTTACACGATCTACCCCCCCTCGTGGTCCTTTCCTCTTCTTATATCCAATCTATATCAATCTGAAAAGAACAAGGCGTAGGGTTTGTCTTCTGATTTCATGGGTATCATTCATGACCGGCGCCAATTTACGCGGCTCAGAGAACAGGAAAAGATGGAGAGCCAAAAAACAAAACAAAGAGAAAAAAAATGGCTTGGGCAACGAGACAAGGGAGTTCTATCATGGGTCACCGATTTCCTCCTCTTAGCACAACTGCACATTGGCGTGGCGTTGGTGGCAGGGCGGAGATAAAAAAAAATTATGAAAGAATCTGACGAGGGCGCTCCTCTGGGACTTGGTGGATAAAGGGGTTCTTGTTTTCAGCGTACCATTCCTTCGTCTCTGCAAGCAGTACATAGTTATACGAGCTTGCTACATGCACTGACTCCGAGTTGCCACTACCTTATACGTGTTGTTCCATTCTGTGGTGAATGATGGGTTTCGACAGCATCTTTTGCGGGCAACTCATGGCACCAGAAATAGGGGCAAACCACACGCGACAGTCATAAGACGACATATCACGCTAGACTGTCTCTTCTGGCTGGCTGACTGGGTGCCACAGGGCAGACTTTGGTTAACGCAAAGAGACAAAGTCCCTTTTATCGCTATGGTGACCTTATGTACAACCCTCACTCGCACATCCGTACAACTTGTACGCGTCCTCTGGAGGCCAAACTGCCTCTAGAATATGTCTCGACCCAATATTTCCCCTGATGCTTCTATTACCGACATCACATGTATTTCAAGAAGGATTGTCCACCTTCCTCCTCTTCCTCAGCAGCATTCTATCGCCAGAACCCCTGGACTATGAACTAGGAAGAAAAAAAGGAAAAAGCCGCCCCCCCTTTTCAAAGCCTCCCCCATCACAGCTTCCCCTTGAGCAAGTTGCCCACCATCTGCCTGCCCGTGATGTGCGTCGTCTTCCACAGCGTCGGGAAGTCGAGGGTGCTGGACAGGCCGTCGGCGAAGCCGAAGAAGAGCATGGGCGGGATCCAGCCGCGGGCGTACTCGAGCGCGAAGCAGGCCTCGGGCATCTTGTACTGCTTGGCGTCGCCGCGGCGCAGGTGGTGCACGGAGCCGGCCGGGTAGACCTCGGGCTCGTACTCGCCGGGGACGTAGGCGAGCTGCGTGCCGGAGAGGATGTGGAAGTAGTCGTCGGCGGTGTGGCGGCCGGTGTGGCCTTCTGTGCCGATGGCGGTGCCTGGGGGGGGGGGCGCCGTGAACGAGATCTCGGGTGTTAGTCAAGGGAGGGCTTTCATGAGTTTGGTATAGATGTGGAGGTGAAAGCTAAAAACGCACCGAAGATGATGAGATACTCCGTCACGCTGGCATGGATAATGTACATGGCGCCCATTGCGCCGCCGGCATTGTTAAACACCCAGTCCTCCTCGAGGTTGACGTACCCGGGCACCTTGTCGTTGAGCTCGTCGACGACGAAGCGCACGATGCCGCGCGTGTCGTTGCCGTGCGCCGCGATGCCCCGCCGCGCGAGGTCGTGCAGGTGGTCCGTCTCGAAGACGTAGAAGCGCTCCAGGTCCCGGTCCAGGACGTAGACGACGGAGGCCAGGAGCGCCGTGAGCAGGGCCAGGACGCCGAGGAGGCGGGATATGCTGCCCGCCGGCGGCGGGGAGGGTTCCGTTCGGGGCATGGCTTGGTTTTACTTTTTGGCCGGGAAGAAAAGAAAGATACGGTATTATAGGTTTGGACAAGAGTCAAGAAATGAAGCAAAAAGAGATCAAGGAGATGATGACTCTTGAATGTTGATCTAGTTCGGGCACCTTGGGCAGAGTAGGTAATGGCCAAATGACGAGTGCAAGGACAAGCCCAACGCTAAACACACACAAATCAAAGCCGCCAAAACAAGCCCCAATTACACAATTGGTCCGAGAAGCAAACAAAGATTGACTTCTGCCAATTGCTTCGTTTTATACAACTGGGATCCTTCTTCGGGGTGTTATCATTCGGCGACCCGAGGTCTGCGGCAGCCTATTCTGCCACACCTCACCGCTCGGCCCGGATGACGGCGATCCGGATGAGGCCGTCGAATGTCTTTGGTGGAGAGGGTTGAGGGTTCATTTGAAAGACGGTTCGTATTCGTACTCGTGCTTGAAGTCCAAGTGTCAGCCCTTTGGCCTTGGATGGCCAAACGAACATGATGGTGGCTTGTTTATGCTGTACGTAGCAGTTCACGCAGAATCTCAAAGCAGCTTGTATCCTCTAAAAAAACCGCATTAAATTAACAAAAACTCATACATACGGAGCGCCAGTGCGGGCTCTCGGTCAAACGCCTCGACGCCGGAGAAATCTAGCTCTCCCTGATCCATACAAGTTCCTCTGTGTACAAGTTTCCTCGTCGTGTAGCAAAAAATCATTCCCAGCGTTGTCGTTCCCTCTTCACTATCGGCTCAGGGGTTCCTCTCCCCCCACGTGACAATCGAGCACCAGTCCCCGACTACTCAACCTCCGAGTCAACCATGACCTCGGTCTTGTCGGGGTCATCAGCGTCTTCGTCGCCTAGAGCCGCTTGATCGGCCTCCTCCATATCCACATCATCCATCATGGCAACATCGCCGCCGCCGTCCTTGTCCTCCTTGGACGTGTTACCGTTGACCCTGACATCGGAAGCTTCGTCCGCGAGGCCTTCTGGTGCATCCACTGCCATCTCGCTCTCGGTGTTTTCGTTGGCCGTGGGCGGCTTGGGCTTCTTCACCGGAGCAATGACGCCGAGCGTGTCTCTGTGCTCTCGCCAACGAGCCAGGCGTCGAACGGAACGTCGGATGGCGGCGGCGTACGAGCTCACTTCTTCGCCGTAATCGTCCTTGTCCGTGGCCAGGAGGCAGAGGCCGCCGACGCCCCTCTCTCTGAAGACGTTGCCCTTCTCGACGGGCAGGTTACGTGGAGCGTTGTTTTCGTCGTCACTGTCCTCGAAAGGATCAACCTGAGCCTGCAAACGCCTGTACGTTCTGACAATGGCGCCCTCTTGACGCCTAATCTTTCTGCTCTTGTGATGGTGCTTCCGGAGGCCGCGGTCCAGGATGTATTCCACCCTTTGGCTTCGATTTCGCTCAACCGCAAGCTGGTGAGCCGTCGGTGGACGAGGCTTTCTGGCGACGACGCCCGTTTCGGCTCCTTGCCGAGCCGGCGAGGAACCCTCGAAAATCTGGTACTTGAGAGGCGCTGCTCTGCGTCCGTTCATGACGGCAATCGTTCGAGCCAGCGCTCGTGGAGGCGGCGTGGATCGCGTACTCTCCATGTCGGACTCGTGCTTGCTCGGCCGGATTCGAGGCAGGATCGCCGGGCCTTCCTCTCCGATCGACGGCCGGACCTTGGTACGCTTCTCCCGCTCAGTCATATATTGATGGTCCATCTCCAAGATAGTAGCCCTTATCTTCTGCTTTTCGTGGCCAAACTCGATTTCGACTTCGGGGTCAACGTTCTCTTGAGCCTCCTGTTCCGGGGTCATTTCCTCAAGCTCCGGGACGCCTTGATTGGCGACATCGAGGCCGTAGTCGACGCCCGGGCCGAACGGATTCTCCTCGCATCCCTCCTCCGTGAAGTCAGATTCGAGATAGAACCACATGAGCCACAGGAAGGCCCTTGCTCGCGACGCGCTGGTGTACTGCGTCTTCATGATGACATCGTGAAACTCGCGATGGAGTGGAAAGTGCAGCTCCGCGACCTTTTGTGCCGAATTGCACATGACAAAGATGAGGTTGACGGGATTTGTGCGAGGAATGTCCCGGTTTTTAATCTTGTCGAGAGAATTCGGCTCATCCCTGTCTTCAGCGCCACCCTTGAGGATGGACTTGAGACGTGGAGCATCCTGCAGCTGCTTGTAGGCGTGAGGATCTTGCTGCGCTTGGAGAGAAGGAATGGCGTGGTATGTCCGCAGCTGGGCTCGCATTTCGGGGAAGACTATTTTCGTAGCGTTAGTTTCAATTCGAATCGCTCATGACATGATCGCTTCAACAAATAAAGGAATAGACATATGCTCACAATTGAGGGTCGTGTTCATGCGGCCCATGTTGACCAGCAGACAGACCATTGCCATGCCTTTGGCGGCTTCTCGGTCATTCATCAGCTTGTCCCTCAGCACCTTGCTCGTCTTGGAACTGCGAGCCATGGTGTCGATGTACAAGTCGGCGAAGCACTGCTTCTCCAGCTCCGGGTCGTACGAGTTGGTGAAGACCTTTTGTTCGTTGTCGAAGACTGCCCTGAGAAAGTCGTACTGGATATCCTTGCGCCAAAGAGGCTCTCCATCCTCCTTCTTCAGGTGCCTGATCTTGCCAATCTGGGGCTGCGCGTCCTTGTCCTTGTCCTTGTCCTTTCCCTTTCCCTTGCTCCGGGAGGGCTTCTCCGCAGTCTCGGTGGTGGTGGCGACGATTGTGTCTTCATCCTCAGCGTCGGCGGCGCGCGAGACGGAGGGCTTGCTCTCTGCTTGAGCAGGAGAACTCGGGTTCTCTGCGTCCGACGCGGCGTCCGCCGAGCTGGGCGAGGCAGCCATGGTGCGAGGGAGTCGTGGGAGGGGAGGCTGAAGGCAGCGCTTGTTTGAAGAGGAAAGATGAAAGTTGTCTCGTCGTTCGTCGTGGGTGGGCGATGGCCTCAACGGCGCATGATTTTCTGGTCTCTGGCGCCAGGGAGGAGCAGAAGTGTGGCTACCGAGCAGTCGAGGCCGATGCAAATGCCGATGACGATGGCGATGCCAGTTGGCGATGCTGACGACGAGGTTGTGGCCAGGCGGGTGAAAGGAAAGCGTGAGGCTGATGCGGGAGAAAGAAAGTGTGGAAAGGAAAGGGAATTGATGACGACGAAGGAAATGGGGACAGGAAATGACTGGTGCACGAAGTGCCAATAATCCGCGGGCACAGCAGAGAAAAGAAAAGCTGAGGTCAAGCACGAGGCGCACGTTCGCCAAGTAACGCGCGCCTTGCTAGTTTGGAAGGCTACCTTAGCAGCACAGCAGCAAAAAGCCACCGCAACCTCGTCCGCCCTGCGATGATTCAATGCGTCGCCCTGCCAAAACCCCAAAGCCCTTCAGCGAGCGGCGCGCTGTGTGACGCCGCTAGAGCAATCCCGATGGGCCTTGACCTGCCGTGACTGCAGCAGGCCAGCCACTGAAAGGCCCCTGTAAGCTGCGGGCCCGTGCGCCAACTCTGCACCAGGCCTCACCCAATCCAATTCAACCTCTGCCACTCGCTCGACTTATCTTATCAACCCCTGCTCTTTTTGATCTCGCCCAGTTGCTCTGCGCTCACGACGTTGCCATGCAAACATAAACAACCACGGGGCATCACAACCTCGACGGCCGTCCTGGCCACTGTTTCCGCTCCTGTTACTAAACCGGCGAATCTGCGCGACTCTCGCTCTTGTTCTCTAGCAGCTTCTCAAGGCCTCGGTACGTCCAGACACGTCTTCCTCCCAGCCTTCTCATAAATTTCACCTTGTCTGCTGCCCTGGATTGCGCCTAGCCTGCCTGTACCTTACATACAAAGGTGTAATCGATCGACCCAGCTTACAACGCCGCATCAGGAAATTGACAAGACACAATCCGGCCTGTTTCACCGCCAGCGTGTGTATCCGCGCTTCGTCTCTCCCCACCCTCATCGTCCGGGCTCGCAATTCCTCAGCAATCATGTCGAGTCTGGTCAGGGCGACCACGCCCGTCAAGCAAACCGCGCCGGCGACGGCGACTGAGAGCCCCGGCACCTGGCGCCACCCTCGACTCGACGAAATCACAAGACGGCGCGATGCCACAAACTTCTCCGAAAAGAACGTGCGGCGGATCGCCTACAACATAGTCGCCTTGCTGGCCATGTGGTCGCTTCAGCTGCTGGCCAGGCTCCAGGTGGACGCGCAAATGTGAGAAAGACACCAGGATACGAACGGCGAGCGCTGTGGCGTGGCTCCCACGCGAATACAAGTGTTTCTCTAACACTGAACGAAACGAATGTATAGGTTTCCCAAGTCCGTCCGACTATATCTCGGCTGGGCATGGTTCGCCGCCCAGCTCATCCCATTCATCCAGATCGGCATGGCCTGCCTGCCACTTATCCGGCCCAAAGACGAGCTCGCCGATATCCCGTTGACGGCTACCCAGCGCAAACTGCTGGGCCTCAACCCGTCCGTCGTGCCGCCCACCCCCGACGTCAACATCAGCACCCCGCCGCGATACTCGCGAACTCCATCCATTGCAGGCTCTGTGGGAAGCAGGGCTAGCTATCCCAACTCTCCGTTGGAGGGACGAGGCGACCCCGTGTCCAACGCTCTTTCTCAGAGCTTTAGCGGCTCGGTCTCGCAGTTCTCGCCCATGGGAAGCCCATTCCTCCAAAGCGTTAACGGCGTGAGCAATAGGAGGTCATCCTTTGGGACGTCAGGCTCCTTTGGCGCGTCCACCATTGGCTCCTTCGGCGCAAGCACTTCGTCAAACATGTTGCCCGACCCTGCCTCACCAAGCCCTTCAGCAGGCAAGAGGACAAGCATTGGGCTCAACAATAAGTGGCTGTACGAGAAGGGCAGGAGGTCTTCTGGCAGCACTTGGGTCCATTGATATGGGAGGGGAAATCAGGGCATGTGGGAAACTTCTAGACCGGTATTTTTTTCAAGAGAAACCTACTGCGTAACCCAAGGGCTATGATATATCAAGCCAAAGGATGAGTGCTGGTCCTCTCTTTCTTGGGTTGGCATGTGAAAGGTAGAAGGTGTATAAAGGCGTGTCTTTATGATAACGTACGTAGCACTATGGTAGTAAGCCATTGATTTCTGGGTATGTGACTATCCTTGCTATTGTGTTCTCAACAAGAGGAGATGCGTCTTGCTTGATCCAGGACCGGATCGATCATTGCAGAGTGTACACATCTAGTATCTCTTGTTCCTAAAGACGCAAGCACAGACCCATACACTCCTTCTGCCAAAGATCAAGATTGTGACAAAAGACCCTTCAGATGAGCAGACGACCCAAAAAGATAAAAAAGAGCTTTACATGGAAAAGGGCAAAAAGAGATGCGCGAACCGGGACTCGAACCCGGGTCGCATGCTTGGGAAGCATGCATGCTAACCGCTACACTATTCGCGCTGATGATGTAATAGCTTTGATTAGAGCTTTGTACTCAAGACTTATATGGGATGCAAAGTTGGAGCTACAGATCGCAGCATCATCCATACCCAAAGCTGCTAGGTTGCTCTCCCACCTTTGACCCCTCCATCGTCTTCTCCATCACATCACCACAGAGCAAGGTAGCTCCCAGACACTCACTCCCCTTCTCCTAGAGCTACAACTCAAACCTTTCGGCTACATCAAAGGCCCTCCTCCATAAGAACCAGCTCCCAAACGAAACATACCATTACTTCCTGCCCCCAGTCGAACAGAGCTGCTGCTCCCCGCCCCCCCCGCCGCCAACAATGGCCAACAAAGTCGAACGCATCGTCGCCCGGCTGCAGGAAAAGATCGCCGAGGGCGACTACTACGAAGCGCAGCAGCAGACGCGCGTCGCCGCCTCCCGCTATATCAAGGCCAAGAACTGGCCCGCCGCCATCGACGTCCTCTACAGCGTCGCGCAGTCGCTGCTCAAGGCCGCGCAGGGCGGCAGCGGCGGCGACCTCTGCGTCATGATGGTCGACGTCTACAAGCAGGCCGAGCTCCGGCCCGACGCCACCAGCAAGGGCCGGCTGCTGACGTGCCTGCGGCTGTTTGACCCCGCGGAGCCCACGAGGAAGAAGTTTATCGCCGAGAGCATGGGGTGAGTGGTACCTGGTTGCTTTGTGCTATTGTGTTTTATGAAGTTGTGATATATGCTCGTTCTTTGGGCGCGGTTCTCTTGGGTTACGCCATGGAGGAAGGGCGTGATGGGCTGACTCGTGGGGTTGATGTAGATGGTCTTCCAAGTTTGGCGAATACCCTGCCGGCGACCCCGAGCTGCACCACGTCGCCGGATCACTATACGCAGAGGAGCACGAGACGTACGAGGCGGAACGACACCTGATATTGGGAACCAAGGACTCTCCAGAAGTGCTGCTCAACATGGAGTACGCCTGGTACAGAGAAGGAGACGCCCACCTGGCACCGCACTTTGCGGCGCGAGCCATCCTCCCCTACCTCCTCGTCGGCAACGTCCGCGCCGCCAACACCTGCTACCGACTCTTCATCAGCGCCCTGACAACCGACAACCCGTCCCTCGGCGTGCAGGACGTCTCCAGCGCCACCTGCGACGCCCGCATCTTCCCCAGCCTGCCGCTGCTCAACTTCCTGGGCCTGCTGCTCCTGGCCATCCAGCGGGGAGCGCCCGAGGTCTACAAGGGCCTGGTGTCCAAGTACGCGACGCAGATCGACGAGGCCGAGGCGTGGGCGGAGCCTCTGGAGATGATTGGCGAGATGTACTTTGGCATACAGAAGCCGCGACAGAGCAACCCCCTGCTGGACATGATGAGCGGGCTGTTTGGCGGAGGAGGCGCCGCGCCGGCGCCGCAGACACGGCGGCCGGGGCTGCGAGGAGCGGAAGCTCCCGCTGCTGAAGGATTAGACTAGTAGGCTTGCTGCGGTATCGTCATCAACATCATCCCTCTTTATCCTTTTCTCCAAATTCCCCTCTTCTTCTCATACCATTCATCGATCGGTAGCGACGAAATAGAACTCAGTCCTGTATCATAGACACAACGGCGTAGGCGGGTGGGTTGTAAAAGGGAGAAAAGAGGGTGAGCAAGTGAAGCACTGAATCGTCGTCATTCATGCTAGGCGCGGCTGTTCTTCCGCCTCAAACATCCAGTTGTCCTCGGCCAAGGCGCTGACCTTGTTCCTATTGCTCTCGCGCACAGCCTCGAGCAGGGCTAGGAGATGGAGCCCAAGTTAGCCAAAAAAACCGTCAGCTTCTAAGGGTATAGGAGGATAACATTGACCTTTCATACTAACCTTCTGGTTGATGGGCCATGGAGCTGTGGCTTATTCGATACAGTCGGATGGCCTCTGCCAAGCGCTGCTTCTCTCCTAGACGCATCAAAGAAAAGATCGTACAAGTTAGCCATTATCTTCACCAAATTCGCTAATGCAAGTCATATAAACTCGACCGCAAAACTCATGTAGCGTAAAAGAAGATCCTCACTCTCATTCTCCTCCTGCATCTCCAACGCCTGCAACTCATCCTCATCATCCACCACCAGCGCCGGCGGATTGCACACTTCAGCATCCCCGTTCTTGTCGCGCACCACCAGTTCCGACGACGACGGCGATGACGTGTCGCGCCTCTGCTGTTGCTGCTGCTGCATGTCGACGTCCATGCGCATGTTCTCTGGGTCGTGGGCCGAAGCCGGTGTTGTTGTTGTTGTTGCTGGTGTTACTGCGGCGTTGGACCGGTTTCTGAAATGGCTCCGGAAGAGGCTCGTCTTGGTGCCGTTGTTATTCGCGGCGGTGCTGCTGCTGGTGCCGGTGCTTGCGGTGGCGAGGCCGGAGCTTCGTGTTGTGCGGGAGGAGCCGTTGGGGGCACTCATGGCTTTTGAATTTGATAAGTGATGTTTGCTGTGAATTTGGAAGATGCAAGGGGTGGAAAGTTGTGTTACTGTTTGATGCCGGTTACAGATATGATGCGGTTGTGGTGATGTGTCGAGTAAATATTGACCAGAGAGAATGTGATGTGCCAGTGGTAAGATGCAGTATCGACTGTAAATGCACCGATCATTACTGATTTGTTTTGTTGTTTGGGTATAAGGAGGAAGATGGGATGAGATGTTGTTGGATGTGGAACTGAAAAAGTACTGGAGACGGGGCTGCTGTGGTGGGCTGGCGCTAACAGTGACAGCTCCCTGCGACTGCGGGTTTATACAGCTCGAATGAGCCTCACTCAGGTTGTCTTTCGACGAGCACAGCACGCGACGATTTCGCTTCCCGGGGTTTGATGCAGCATACATATATATCGATAATGGTTTCGTTACAGAAGAAAATGGAAGTGTCAGCAACATCGGCTTCTGTCGCACTAGAGACGCATGGCCAAAGTTCAATTCATACATCAGCTGATCGTTGCGACTCGTCCAAGAAACAGAGGCTTGAATCATCACCAACTGACGTGCTTTGATAGGAGAAAAGAAAACGTGCAAGCATTTGCGCGCGTGTGCTAAAGGACAAAACATCAAGTCAGAGAAAAGCCAGACCGTCCCCAAGAGTCCCAAGTTACGCCCGTGATCCAAAGACATACGCCGACACTCGCTCCCCTCTTTTGCGCGCAGTACAAGGTTCAGTCAGTTACAGTGAGAGGTTGTAGGAGTACTCATCCTCCATGTTCTGGCTAATCCACAGGACGACAGAGCTGGAAACACGGTAGCGGGTTAGCTATCACAACTCTCCCATGCATGGGTGGATAAGAATATGGTGGGACAGTGTCAACATACCTGCAGCCTACCAGGGCGTTGCTGACGAGGTTCTCAATTCCCATACTCAGGGCCGGCATGCCGACGCCAGGAACGACAAACTTGAGCACAAAGACGGTGACACCTCCGGCCATGCCGCCAGCGAGGGCCGCGAATCCCAGGAACAAGACGACGCGCGCCTTCCATGCGACACCAGATCCGCTATAGCTGAAAGAGTCGGCGCTAAGGCGCTGCTTCTCGACCGAGTTGATGATGAGCATGCCGAGGCTGGAGAAGATGAGCGGCAGCCAGTCGACGAATTTGACGTGGACGTTGGATCCGTTCTTGGCCGACTTGGACCAGACGGCGGAGTCGAGCATGACATAGAAGGCGAGGGAGAACTTGCGAAAAGGAGCGCATACGTCAGCCGGGGGTTATTATAATCGAGAGGGGCACGGGAAAATGTCAAGATGGCGGTAGATGTGGAGGCGAACTCACCAGAGCTCCGGCACCGTAGACGCCAGCGTTCCGGGCCCAGATGCTGTTGAGCCACTCGGGCTTCCTGAACTTCCAGAGGCGCTCCTCCTCCATGATTGTCGGTCGAGACGCGGCGAGGGTCGAGGGTCGTAGAGTATAGATGAAGTGCTCGGAGGGGAAGCGCAAGAATAAGAAGAGCCGGCCGAGAGGTGTAGTTTGGCGTTAGTAGGCTGAGGGTCGAAGGTTGAAGGGTTGGAGAGGTCTTTTGGTTCGGTCGGCTTGGTGATGACGCTCTGCGGAGCGCTTGGATCTGGCGGTAGCGCAGAGGCTAGACTAGAGGCTGAGCCAACGTCAGAGTCACGTGCGCCGGCCTGGATATGAGACGGAGCATGAGGCCGTTGAAGACGGTGATATTCAGCATATCGAACGGGCCTCAACTATAAGAAATTCTTTTGTCTTGCTAAAGAAAAAAAAAGAAAAAAGCGCTCTATCAGTATATACCTAGTTTACCTTTCAGAATACTTGAAAAGTTTGTCGCTCATTGAGATTTGGATGACTCTCCAAGACTCTAAGAAGCTTCCTTCTTGGTCAGTGTGGAGATGCAATACGAGGCTTTCGTACAGAGACGGGACGTTATGGACTGGGACAAGTGCAGCAGGTGCGTTTTGTATGCGCAACACAAGGCGGATCTCAGAGCAATTCGGCGACAGGCTGTATATAGCATTGCTGCCAATCTATTGAGTCGAGTGAAGGTTGTACTTTAACAGGTACTTTTAGTAGGCAGTACCTAAGGTATATACTTCAGATTCAACTCCTGACAAGCACAGTTCAAAAACATTAAACGCACCGTCCAACACCCGCTAATCCCTCAATACGAGCTCCCCTTCAGCGCCGCCCTCAGCCTATCCCGCCCTGTAACCTCCCCCCATTGGCGCTGACATTCCAACCTACGCCCGTACAGTGCGCCATATGTGCTGACTGACTTGCCCTCCCAGCCGCCTAACAAGCTTTCCAGCGACTGTTGGCCGGGCTGCTGGCCTAAAAGGAGTTTCAAAACACCAAAACGGGCGCAGCCTCTGCATCTCCCCCCGTCTTTCTCACATTCATCTCCGCTCCAGCAACTCCTCGCCATCTCTGGGGCCCCGCGTTCGCTTGCACGCATCGCATTGATCGCGCTTGATTTTTCTTTCATGCAATAAGTCATTCGTTCGCCTGCGACACCCGTTCCGACGGTCAATGCTGGTTTCGCTCAGCTCGTGAAATTCGTCCGCTTTCGTCTTCGTTTCGGTCTTGAGCAAAAAGCGACGCTTACTTCCGACACCAACGACCTTCTCTTCCACACTCGTTTCGATTCCGCTTCATCGCATCGCAGCGCTCAGCTCGACACCCTGCTATTGCGCCCTCGTTCGACGACCTAGGATACGAAACCACACATCGATCCTGCTTGACCTCGGCAGCCAACCATGCGGGCCTCCAACTTCCTCTCGACGCTGGCAGCAGTCGCTGTCCTGGCCTCTCCCGTCCTGGCCCAGAACAATAACAACATCAGGGCTGCTGCCCCTTCGAAAACAACATCAAACAGCGCCGCCTCCACGGACGACGACTCAGGCCCGACCGGCCTCCCGAGCCTGACCCGCGGCGGCTCCGTCCCGACATATCCTCCCCCGACCGTGCCGCCGACCAAGAACGCGCCCTTCATGCAGCACTCCAACGCCCCCGACGGCACCGTCTTCATCGCCGTGGGCGCCATCCTCGGCGCCTTTGGCCTCGGCGTCCTGGCCTGGCGCATCATCGTCAGCTTCCTGCTCCACCGGTCCGTCCGCCGCGCCGCCCTCGCCCAGCACGAGGCCAACAGCAAGACGGGCTTCCCGGCTCCTCCCGCGCCCTTCTACAAGTACTCCGACCAGGCCTCTCCGGCGCCTCCTCCCGCTGGCAGCGGCCGCGGCGTCCGCCGCACCAACCGAAACACCATGACGCCCTCCGCCGCCCCCAGCCAGTCCAACCTGTTCTTCTCGCCCACCGCCGCCGGCTCCAACAACGTCCCCGGCGGCCGCGGCTCGACCTTTTTGCCGTCCGGCTTCTACGCCGCCGGAAACTCGTCGCCCGGCGGCGGCGGCCAGCAGGGCCCTTCCATCAGCCTGACGAACCTGCGGCCGGACTCGATGGGCTACCCCAACGGCTCGAGGGGCTCGCTCATGGGGCCCTCGCCCCCGGACTCTCCGCACTTTTCGCCGCGGAGGGACATGAGCAGCAGCTCCGTCAACCTCAACAACGCCCGCCAGCCGGGCCAGCGGGCTCCCAGCGCTTACCTCGAAGACTTGCTCGCTGACGAGCCCGGAAGCCTTCCCCCGCCCCAGATGCCGCCTAGCACTGGTCCGAGGGGCGGTGATAGTCCTCGGCGGCGATATTAAATCTGGATTTTCTTCTGAAGAAATGTTTCTTTTGATATCTTCTCTCTGGTGGCGTGTATTTTGTTCCCTTTTGCTATTGCTATCAATTTCACGCACGCGATTAGGGTGGTTCTTCCAAAGATTTAGGGGGGTTTTTATGGCGTCAAATGATGAGCAGTGTATGAATTTTTAACTATTACTTTACTTCATTTCTACCGCCTTGTTCACTCGGCTATCAGCCTTTAAAGAAACTTGCATGTCCAAGTTGACGTACAAGGGGAGGCTGCAAGATCTCCTCTACAGTAATCGTACGGGTTGGCATTGCGTGGCTATGTGACCCCTTCTGTAATAATATTTGCTCTGGGGGAAGTAATGGCCCTTCGAGAATACCTTATAGTTTGATAACGCGTCGTCTTCTGAGGTTGTAATAGCGAGTTGTAAGGGCTTCAATCTTGGTATTCACGCCTTTTGGAGCTACTAGTCTGAAAGATGGTAACTGGCATGCCCGTGAAGGGTTTAGATATCGAAATTGTATTCGATGAGGTCTATCTTCTGCCTCCCAACCATGCATGCAGAGGCAGTACTATCACTGTTCCCAACCTTTGCCCTTTCCCCCCGTCTATTAGGTATAGGTATGAATAAAACACAATAAACTCGTAAAACCATATGATTCATTGTAGGCTTGAACTTTTTGTAGGATTGCTTCAAACGAGCCACCCCTCATTTTGACGATAATGATCAATCATCATATCCAAAGAGGGGAGGCATCATTCAAAACAAGAAATGGGGGAGAAAAAAAGGGGGGGTATATATCATCAGAAGATTCTTTTTGCTCATGAGCTGGTAGCAGCGGCAGCATCCAGCTGGTCCAGCTCCAGCTTCGCACTCGCGATATCCTCCACGCGAATGCCGCTCCTGTCGCACATGCCCCGGAAGATGCCGTCCTCCTTCTTCCACAGCTCCAGGGGGGTGTCCAGCTCGGCGATGCGGCCGGCGTCCATGACGCAGATGCGGTCGTAGCCGATGATGGTGCGGAGACGATGGGCAATGCAGAGCAGGGTCTTGCCCTTGAAGCCGGTGGCCATGGTCCGCTGGATCTTGTCGTCCGTCTCCATGTCGACGCTGGACGTGGCCTCGTCACAGACGATGATTCGAGAGCCACGCACGAGGGCGCGAGCAAGAGCCATGAGCTGACGCTGGCCGAGGGAAAAGTTGAGTCCGTCTTCTTCAACGGTGCTGTCGAGATGAATGCGCGAGGGATCCGTCTTGCGGTCTTCCATGTTGGCGTCTGCAGGCACGAGATCGGCCTGTCGAAGAGCTGACCAGAGCTCCAAATCCGTGTGCTCGTTGAAGGGATCGAGATTGCTGCGAACAGTACCCTGGAAGAGCGTTGGGTCTTGAGGAATAATAGCGAGACGGGACCGTAGGTCAAACAAGCCGATGGTGGCAATGTTGACGCCGTCAATAGTGATGGAACCTCCCGAGATCTCGACGAGACGGAACAGAGTGCTCATGATGGAGCTCTTTCCAGCACCAGTGCGACCGACAATACCAATGCGCTCTCCGCCCCTGATGTGGATGGACAGGCCCTTGAGCACAAGCGGCAGATTCTCTCGGTAGCGCATCTCGACGTTGTCAAAGATAATCTCTCCCTTTTCGGGCCAAGTCGGGCGAACATCAATAGTGTGGAGGGGAGCCTCCTCTTCGAGCTCGTTGCCATAGTATCGGAGACGTTCGACCGCGTTCATGCCGTTCTCGACTTCGGCCAACTGGCGGATAGAGAACTGCAGCATCTGCACGATGGACAGAATGTAACTGAGGACCAGACCGCCGATGGAAGGGTTGACGCTGAATCGTGAAGTGACAACAAGGATACCGACGGTGAACACGAGGAGGTTACCAATCAGATCCAGCCGAAGAGAGAGCCATCGCTGATTGGAAAAGGTGAGAAAGTAAGCGCCATTCATCTCGTCAATCGCGTCGCGAAGATCCTTGATGAATCGGGACTTGAGCCCGTAAGCACGGATCGAAGCCACACCCGTAAGACCCTCGCCAAACTTGGCAAAGACGGTAGATCGGAGGACCGACTCGAACCGCTTGACCTCTCGGGCCGACGCGCGATAGTACGACGCGGCGCCGATGAACAGGAAGTACAGAGGCACAAGGGCAATGGCGAAGTAGTGGAAGTAGGCAATGATGAGGGCAAACACGGCAGTGCACATGCAGAGCGTGAAGAAGTACATCCGAATGGCGTCCGTCAGGTTGTTGTCCATGACGTCGACATCACGGGAGAAGCGGTTGGTGATGCGGCCCAGCGGCGTCGTGTCGAAGAAGGACATGGGCGCACGCAAGACTCGGAACATTGCTTCGCGGAGCATCACCTTACTGGAGGTCGTTCCCAGAATAGACAGCATGACGGAGAAGAGGAACATGAGTATGGCCTGGAGAGCACCGAGTCCGGCGTAGATGCCGATGTACTGGCCCGTCGACAGTCCAAACTTGTCCGAGGTCCAGTACGAGAGCCACAAGCTGGTCATGATGTTGGCACCTTGCGAACAAATAAGGATGAAGATGACCAGCGGGGCGTTCAACAGAGTACCGGAGGCGCGGACATATGCGCCATACACGGACCAAGGCACGCTGGAGTTGGCCTTTTCTTCCTGCTGCATGAGAGCCGCGCCCTTCTTGTTCTTCTTGTTCTTGCGAGCCTCGGCGGTCTCACTCAGCGTCAGCTGCTTGAGCTTGTCGTCGTCTTCCTCTTCGTCCTCCTCCTTCTTTTCAACAGCAGTCGTCTCCATCAGGTCCTGGAAGCCCTTGTGATCCCGCATCAGATTCTCGAATGTGTCGATGGCTTGAATCTTGCCGCCATCCATCCAGACAATCCTGTCACAACGAGAAAGAACCCAGAGCTGGTGAGTAGCGAGGATGCGGCACTTGTCCTTGAGGAGGCCCAAGATGGCATTGTCGAAGATGTGGCGACCAACATGAGCGTCGACGGCACTGAGAGGATCATCCATGAGAACAATGTCGGCGTTAAAGTAGATGGCTCGTGCAATATTGAGACGCTGCTTCTGACCACCGGAGATTGTGATACCGCGTTCACCGATTTCAGTCAGATCGCCATTAGGGAGCATGTCAAGATCAGGTTGAAGGGCACAACTGTCAAGATGTTCGGTTAGTTTTCATATTTGACAGCGAAAGGGGGGATGGGAGGGGTCGCAAACTCACGCTCGAATAACTTCCTTATACCAGTCCTGGTCCATATCTTTGCCAAAGATGATGTTGTTCTGCAATGAAGTGTTCTGAATCCATGCATACTGAGGGCAGAAAGCTCTGGATGCGCCAAAGATGACTTCACCACTTGTCTTGCGCATGTCGCCGGCCAGGGCAGCAAGCAAAGAACTCTTGCCACTACCGACAGTGCCAATGACAGCAATCAGCTCGTTCCGACCAGCCTCCAGATTCAGATCATGCAGCTTGAAGGGTTCTCGCTCCTCCACAAGAGTACTGGAGTCATCACCAGATGTAGATGGGGCAGTCTCCTTTGGAGCCTCGGGCTTCTTGGCACCCTTTTTGGCCTTGGCATCAGGCTTGTCGGCCTCCTTGGTAGGGGTTCTCTCCCAAGTAAAGGAGGCATGTTTGAGTTCAATGGCATGCTCTGCCTCAGGATCAAAGACAACGTCCTCTTCTTGTTCTTCTTCAAGCAGGAATTGCTCGACCCGCTGTAGAGAGGACCAGGCGTCAATCACCTGACCAAGAACAAGGGGCAGCAGGTTGAGAGGGATTCGAAGACCATTGAACAGAGCCAGCGAAGAGAAGATCTCGGCTGGTGCCAGGCCGTGGTTGGTCAGGGAGTAAGTGATGAAAGCCAGCATCGACGCAAAGATGGGCATGGACATGCTGACAGCATTGATCGCATTGCGGATGGCGAGCAGGACCTGGATGGAGTAGATTTCCTTGGAGCGAATCTCGGCCAGACGGTCGATGAATGCCTTCTCCCAGCCAAAGTACTTGACGAATCGGACAGACTGTAGAATCTCCTGGGTGAGCGACACTCTCTGGTCGGTAATCTTGTTAATGGCCTTTCTTCGGCGAAGCAGGGATTGGATAGCTCTGGTAATGAGCGGAACACCGATGACGAGCAGTCCAAAGCCGGCCAGGGCGCTGTACGTCAGGTTGATTAAGAGCAGGACCAGTGTGATGATGCAAGCGACAGGAGAAGTCCAGGTCATGTGTAGGAGGGCCGAGGCTTGATCAACGCGGTAGGTGTCGACGCTCATCAAGTTCGTGATGCGTCCATTGCCCCAGCCCAAGCCATCTTGTCCCGGGGCCCCCTTGCCTCCCTTCTTCTTGTCCTTCTCGCTGTCCTTGCCCTTGCCCTTGCCCTTGCCATCCTCCTCTTGTTCGTTCGCCTCGGGCGTCGTAGCCTCCTTGACGCCGCCAGCCTTGGCACGACCTGATATCACCATTGACTTCTCGTAGATCATGCTGATTAGGACGGCACGGCTCTGGCCTCCCATCATCATGCCTCGGTAGATGAAGTGGCTGATGCACACGCTCTGCACGATCTGCATAAGGGTAACGCCAATCGCCAAACCGAGACCACGTCCGATGTGAGGAGCAGGAGAGTGGCTGATACGAGCCACGTAGGCATCGGTTGCAAACTGGATGAGGTAACGAAGGATAAACGGAGAGAGAACCTGCATGATCGTTGCGATGAGAGAGCAGACACCACCGAGCCAGAATTCGAATTTGAAGCTTTCGTGCAAGGCGCCAAGCAGAGGTCGCTTTGAGCCATTCTTAACCCGTCTCTGGAAGGCCTCCCTCACCCTGAGGGTCATAGGCTCTGCTGCTCTGTCCGGGTTGACGAGCCAGATGTCCTGTTTGTCCAGCTGGCGCTTATATCCCGTCTGTGGAACATGTTCTGGTTAGCTCTCACAGTCCCGCAGCTTACATCGATCCGATCAGGGTCACAATCTCACCGTCATGAGAGGGTTCATCCAGTAAAAGGTGAGTTTGCTGAAGAAACCGGCCTGGTACTCACGGGAGACTATACGCTCCTTGGGAATCTCGGGTATGCCACCCCAGCGCATGGGGTTGAGCCGCTTGTACCAGCGCAGCTTGGGTTGTTGCACCGCCGCTGTGGTAGCTACACTGGCATCAGTCGCATGGCTTTTGGTTGCTCCCAGCGCCTCCTTGGGTGAGTCATCGTCCTGGTCGGACCTGGGATCGACTCTTTCGATCCCATCGTCGTCCTTCTCGCTCACGTGGGCGGCCTTTTCATTTTCGTATTCATCGTTGGCCTCTTCGGACGCGGATTGAATGCTGATCGCACTGCTCTCTGGAACAGCTATCGCCGCCTGTGTCTCTTTCTCGGCCCCGGGGTCTGCCATAACTATGGGAGACCTCGGCGTGATGCCCCAGGTCGCGGCCGCTTACACTAGAGGCAGAAGATGATGATGTCTCGCCCAGCAGAGCGGGTGGCGCCACGGGGATCTTCTAGTCGACTGTGGAGTCTGCCAGGGAAAGAGTCTTGGCTCTGAGGTTTCCGGTTAAACAAGATACAGCGTCGAAGCACTCTCAGGTGTACTGCCCGGAGATGTGCGGCCGTTGCTCAAAGAGAAGCAACAAAGAGATAAACGGATCAGATTCCACACAACAGAGGCAACAGACCCGACAGAGGCAATCTGATCTGAGCTGGCGGGCAAAGAGTCAACGCAACCGGGGCAGCAAACGGTTATAAAGGAGCGGAGCGATAGCTCGCCATCCATGCATGTCCAGTGGATATTGACGAGCAACCAGCCCGTATTTCGTACGGCGAATTCTTAGTTCCCGTTTGTAAAACTACAGAGACAGGGTTTAGGCAATGCATGGGAGCAAGGACACAAAACCCGTTTCTGGATCCCGCTCCACATGGCTTCCAGCATCAAGTGCGCCGAGATCAAAAGAGCAAGGGGGGCGACATCCAACAACTGGGCTAAACAAGCAGGTCGGCGTTCTGAAATCCGGTGCCTGCGTAGGCCAACTTGACCAATTGACTTCTACTGGAACTGGTGGTGGTGGTGGTGGTGGGTGGCGCACACCTGCTAGAGGAGAAGCAGCAGAGTTGCCAGTCGGCGAATCGCAAAAGACCAGTTTGCAAAAGGGCGCCCGACTGGTATGGTTCCAATTGGCTGCGTTGAGGACCAAGGCAGCCATGATGAATCATGTCGTATCAGTCGACGACGTTCCGCAAACGAACACCATCAGTCCTGGGCCCCATGTTGGGTAGAATATTTTGGTAAATCCCGAAGCTGAGATCCCATGCTGAGCCGTAAGGCAAGATCGAATCGTAAACGACTCCATCACGCATCCTGCAGTATGTATCAACGGTGGCAACCCGTCAATAGGGGTTCGATGCCGATGTTCCGTACGCACTTCTTCACCGTCTTGTGAGGCCGGGCGAATCCTTCGGAAATGGACCAGAATGTGCAGATGCTGCCGGCATTCGACGCAAGTCGCACGACAGTGGTGGACGTCAGAGAAAGCTGGCTAGCGGTGCCGACGCGGTGCCGTAAGTCCAGGAGGCTGGCCCGGAGATAATAGCTTTCGGGGCACTTTTGCAGCCTTTGCAGCCTCTGCATGCCGCTATGCCCCAAAAGATGCTGTTCTCATGGGCACGACAATGACGGGATCCGCGACTCAGATCGGACTCCGTACCCGTAGGCGTCCACCTTAGCGCGCCGGGGCTGTCCCCAAGCGTCGATGGCTGAACGCCAACTGGCCTTCAGTTTGTAAGCAGCGAGACGCATCCAGAGGAACGGGAACGGGGTTCGCCAACTCCGGCCGTTGCGTCGACAGATCAGATGCCTTTGTAATGGGGAGATTCCAGGCAGCGCTTCGTTCGCACTCGCTAATATTACCCAGCCAAGCACTGGCAGGAGCTGTGAACTGGATGTTTGCTCGACAAATCGGGCTGCTGCCGCGCGCGGATGGATGGGTCAGAAATTCCCGTGAGTCAGCCGGAATATGCCTGTACGGCTCCCTGCAAGCTGTCAGACATACGCGCTCAGATGGAGCATCATGGGTTCTGAGATGCTTCACCGAGTTCTTCTGTGTGGTTGCGTGTAACTCGTGTGGACTGCTCGTACTCGTATATTGATGGCTGAAGCACTTCGTACCTGTACTCGAGGACTGATAGTTGTACTCTGCACAGTGCCAGACGAGTCCCAGGATACACAGAACAAGGGCTCCGTCTCGCAAGACGCAGATTCGTCTCCGTTTGCTTCGCAAGTTCTTGCTCCGCTTGCCGCCCTGCCAGCCCACCTCGGGCCCGAGAGCGGATGAAGTGCGGATGACGCTGTCCGGCGCTGAAGCTCTTGGTGGGCACCCGAGCACACGTGACTCTTATCACGATAAGCCTTTTCCTTGGTGCTGTCGATGGGTGATTTTTTGTATGAAGCTCTTTCGTCCTCTGTGTACCTCATCTGATGCTCGCTCTGACCTCGATGGCGACCGACAGCATTCCTTCTCTCGCCATTCCCGGCACAGTCCTGGGCCCTACCAGCAGATACGCCCCTGGCCCGGGCACGCACATCTTTGGAGGCAACGTTGTGTCCTCGCTGCTGGGCAACGTCTCCGTCACAGCTCCGGCCAAGGCTCCGGGCCCGGTCAAGCGATTGAACAAGATCACGGCTCCCACTGCCGAAGAACTGTCGACCATTTCTGTAGTCAGACGCGGGCGCAAACGAGAGGTCCTGCCAGATGTCGGCAACATCGTCTTGGCGCGCGTGGTGCGTCTCATGCCGAAGCAGGCCATCGTAGTCATCCAGCAGGTCGGCAGCACGGTTCTCCAGACAGAGTGGCAGGGCGTGATACGGGTGCAGGACGTGAGGGCAACGGAGCAAGACAAGGTCAAGATTCACGAGTCATTCAAGCCTGGCGATATTGTTCGGGCTCAGGTGGTAAGCTTACCCTGTCCCTATCTGGACTACTGACAGAGAGGCAGTATCTGCAGAGACTAACACAACTCAATCAGATTTCCTTGGGCGACCAAGCCAACTACTATCTCTCAACGGCAGCAAACGAGCTCGGCGTCATCATGGCCACCAGTGATGCTGGCAATGATATGGTTCCCATCAGCTGGAAAGAATTCAGGGATCCCGAGACGGGGGTTAGCGAGCCGCGAAAAGTGGCCAAGCCAAGCTGAAGTTCCTGCTGCCTACGAGATATTGAAGCTCAAATCGTCCACCCTTGCATCCACCAACGCTTCTGGAGCTGCAAGATTGCAAGAGCAACACAGGTCGGCGTGGTCATTTCACACGCGCACGCATCTAAGTATATACTCATTCTCACGCACACACTGGTAACTTGTGCCGAACTCGGGCAAGGGACGGGGATGGCTCAGTCACGAGGCAAAGTAACATCAAGTACGCCGACGGGTCACTGCTTGGAACTCAGATGCCCGTATACCGCAACGGACCGCAATCAAACGGAGCGATGGACGACGACGGCAAACCAAGGCGACGGAGCATGTGTTGTTGGAACTCCGTATAATAGCCGAACCAGGTCGATATACTACTATTATAGCTGTTAGCGCGCCGTTTGTGACGCTCTACAACGGGACGGCCTACTGTACGAAGGTGGAGGGAGGGAGAGGCTTGTGCCTGACTAGAGCCTGAGATAGCAGCTTGTGCCTGGATATTGCCGCATCTATCCGCTGCTGCGGGTTTGGAGCTTTTTAGAGGAGCCTGAAGATATACTCGTTTGTATAGACACTTGACTCTCAACTTGTTCATATCGATCACTTGTAACAATAATAGTCGCGAGCACGTCTTACCCATTCTCCTGCATTCTTCATACGACATTCGTGTCTAAATATAGCACCAATCCCCCGTGAGGCTTGTCCAATGTCAGATGGCCATTTGGATCCAGCTCCTCGGGCAGCCACACAGACCATCTCAGCCCAGCTCGATCATTTAACCTGATCGAAATAAAACACTGCCCAGCCCTGAAGAAGCGGACCAAGCCGCTGTCACTGCCCCCTGTTCCTGTTTGCACAGGCCCTCTCTTCCAGGGCATCCGTACCGGGCACTTTTCTCCCTTGAAGGTCCCCTGTTAAGGCAAACTCCACCTACACGCGACATTCCTCAGCGCCGCCCCGCCACCTTTTTTGCCCTTTCTTCGACTTCTTGGCTGGAGATATCAATCAGTGTTGTCATAAGCTGTCATACCAGCAGCTTTGCTTGGGGTGTTCTTGATGGGCGCGAGTCCCGCCTCTTCAACCTCATTATTTACGCACTTGAACCGGGAGCCCTGAACCATCAACCAGGTTCGTCCATCGGCTTTCCTGGAGCCTGGCTGGAATTCCTGACCATCGTCAGCAGCTCACAGTCGCAAAAAACAGCCATGTCGTCCACAATGGTCGTCACGGCCGCCTCCAAGACGACATCCCTCTTCGTCGACCCCAGCCCGTCATGCTGCCCCAGCTGCGGCTTCGTCATCCCCCCGCCGCAGAACGAGCCGCCGTCGACGCAGCTCCTCGACGCCCAGGCCCGCATCGCCGAGCTCGAGTCCCAGGTCTTCCAGCTCAACCAAAAGGCCCAGGCCGCCGTCGACCGCTGGACAGAGTACGAGGCCGAGCTGGCCAAGCTACGCGCCAAGCTCGCCTCGTCGCCCCCGTCAGGCTCGTCGACGCCCGAGCCCGCCCACAGCCAGAGCCCCTCCCGCTCGTCCTTCTTCCAGGCCGGCGCGACACGCATCTCCGCCCTCATGTACTCGCGCCGATCCCAGCCCGCCAGCCCGCCGCCGTCGGCATCATCCAAGCCCATGCCTAAACCCCCCGTGACGCCGCCGCCGCCGCCGGCGGCAACGGCGACGACGATGAGGACCCCCGGCCGCACGGCGGAGGACCTGCTCGAGGCCCTCAACAAAGAACAGACGCTGCGGAGGGCGGCAGAGGGCCGGCTCAACGCGACGAACAGAGAGGTCGAGGAGCTGAGCGTCACGCTCTTTGAGCAGGCCAACGAGATGGTGGCCACGGAGCGCCGCGCCCGCGCCGTCCTCGAGCAGCGGATATCCGAGCTGGAGAAGCGGGACGCGGAGAAGAAGAGGAGGCTGGACAAGCTGGAGCTGGCCATGAACCGCATCGAAAAGGTCAAGGTGCTGCTGCAGGAGGGGTACGACGCGGCGGCTCTGTCGCTGGCGTCTGAGAAGATCTGAATGAAGTTTTATGAAATGGGAAACTGGCGAGGACGGAAATGCTATACAGGGACTAATTGGTTTGGTTATTGAATTTCAAGGGGGGTTTGGCTACGGGGATATCTATACATTGGAACTGGAAGCGCAGGAATCTTTCATTTTTGGCTTCTATTTGGTCCCTCTACTCCTCTACTTAACTTTCCTTTGTTTGGCGAACAGGCTCAGGTGCAGGAAATGGGTTGGATGGAATTTGTCCTGGCCTGGTTTTTGGCCTCTTTTCTTTTGAGATCATTGGCGTCTTTGGTTTTCCGCAGACTGCGAGAAGGGGGAGTCCGGAGCATGAATAGCCAAGAGCTTTGTTGGTCAGGGAAATACAGCCCGATTGAGAAACTGTCATCTTCATTGAAGTACGGCAAGAGACTACACTTGTCCATAACATCTGATTTGCGCTTCTAAATGAACATCATTGTCCCCAGGACGTAGTCTGTATGCCATCATGGGTCTACCTGCTACCTAGGTAGTATGTGTGTCCTTGCCCTCGTAAGCCTCAAGGACTCTGCGTCATGGTATCGCAACGCCACCATCTTTCCTCTCCCCTCCTATCCGCAGAAAAAGGTTTGGAAAAAAAAAAGTGCTGTAGTAGATTGCCCAAATATAGTATATATAATTCTTAATTTTTAATCATCAAAGCCGTTCCAAGACTTTTCGTCGTCAGACTTGGTCGGCGTCTTGGTACCGTTTGTCTGTCGCGATGGCTTCTCTCCGTTGCCCTTTGCCTGGATCTTGCGTGCCGGAGACGTTGCTCGATCTACAGACGGTGACCTTGATCGTTTCTCTGATCGAGTAGCGGCAACGGGCGATGCAACTGGGCTGGTGCTCTTCTTCTCTTGCCTCTTCTGCGCTTCGGCTTTCTCGGTAGCTTGGTTCGTCGCCTTGAAAGCTGCCTTGGGGCCAGGCCAGTTTCCTTCGGGCTCTCCATTCCAACGTGCGAGCATGTCGGCGACCTTGGGACCCCAGACTTCTTCTCCCTTGGCCAAGTCATCGTATTCGAGACAGTTTGTCCCGCCGATGGTAAAGTCGCTCTGGCGAACACGGGCAAGCTCTGCCATGAGGCCCGCAGATCCCAGCTTGGTGCCAAGATCGTGGCAGAAGCTTCGGACGTAGAAGCCCGACGTCACCTTGAGCCGAATCCTGGCGGCAGGGGGCCCTTCGTCGCTCCACGGCGGAGGGGTGCTTTCGTCGGGTGTCGGAGGGACGAGGTTCTTGCCCTTGCTGGAGTAGACGGGCTGGGGCAGCTGGCCGAGAGCGCCGGACATCATGGCGGAGTGCTTGGACGGACGCTGTTTCTTGCGCGGGGCATCCTTGATGAGCTCGTCTTGCCGTTCTTCAAACCTGCGCTTGAAGGTCTCGTGCGCGGCGACCGCCTGGTCGTCTTGCTCCTTTTCTTCGGGCGTGAGCTTCCGCCCAGTCTCCTGCTGCTTCTTCACCCTCCAGACCTGCTCGGCAAGGTTGCGCTCGGCCGCCTCGGCCTCCTCTGTCGGCCAGCGATGATTGTGTGTCTTGGGCTCGTACCACTCCAGGAGCTCAACCTCCAACACCTCCACCTCTCTTCCCTCAATCTCCCTAGGGATAGGCTTCCCCTCGCGCGCGTATTCGTAGAGCGGCTTGCCATTCATCTTGAGCGCCGAGTACAAGGGCGGAATCTGGATCTGCTTTCCCTTGAATCCCTCCAGCTCCTTCTCCACCATCTCTCGAGTGATGTGGTCATATGGTCGCTTAGACAAGACACGGCCGACTCGGTCGTAGGTGTCGGTGCTTGCGCCGAAGAGGACAATGGTTTCGTACGTCTTGGTGCAGTCGAGGAACTGGGGCAGCAGCTTCGTGGCCGAACCGACGCCCAGGATCAACACGCCGGTGGCCAAAGGGTCCAGCGTGCCTCCGTGGCCGATCTTGACTTGTGATGCCTTCTTCTCGGCCTTGCGTCGCATGAACTGGCCACCTGATTCCTTAAGCCGGCGGGCTATTTCTGCTTCGATCATAGGCTTGAAGAGGGCGGAGGGGTTGAAGGCTTGTTGGCATTCTCGCACAACCTGGGCTGAGCTGAGGCCGCAAGGCTTGTTGATGGCTAAGGCAGCACGCATTATACGTTAGCAGCTCTTCACCACCGGCAGTCGCATTGAAAGGATGCCCGGAGGCTGGGCGTCGGGATAGGAAACAAGACCTACCAAAGACACCATCCCGGACGACGTCCGAAGCCATTGTCGCAAGTGCTTTTCCAATCCGTCGCATACGAGACCTGGGGTGGGTGAGGAAGTGAAAGACGAAGCGGTTTTGGAGAGGAGAGAAGGAGAAAAGAGAGGAAATGAAAATGAGAAAAGAAGGGAAGATGATGGATATGGGAGGGAAGCTGCAAATTGGTATGCAGTTCTCACCACGATCTCACTTTCACCTCCGACCATGAACCCGCGAGCGACGGGAAGAAAAAAAAAATTGACCTAGCGCAAAGATAAGAGATTGCGGCGGCGGAAGTACTCCTACATGATCACTTCCAGATTAGCGTTACAGTACATGAGATGCACAATTAAAGAAATGGTCTACCAAGTACAGAAGCCCCTCTCAAGTGCATTGAGGGTACAGGATACGGCGCGTTCTCCGCAGTCGACGGAACGACCGCTGACTTTGAATTCAGCTGCCTGTTTTTACATTTCCAGCCGAGAGATGCACACTTGGGTTTTGTTTCGAGTGAAAACAATCTCAAAATATGAGTTCAAGATCTGCTATTGTATTCCACAACAACGATGAGGTATCTGAGTAGCTGTGTTATTACAAATACTTCGTAAGACCTTCTCGTGTAAAGTGGTAGCCGTTGGTCCATCTTGGTGCAGTGGGGAAATGCCACAGCGCTGTGCTACAGCGGTTGAGCCGGTCTTTCAGGGCCCCTCCGCTGCTCATCCGCGCAGAAGCAGCCGCTGACCCCTCCGAGCCTCATCCGCGCCGCCCGTCAATCGCGAACCGACCGCTATGACGCCCATTAACGCGCTCCCTGATCGTGTCAATCCACGGGCTGCTTTTCGTGCTGCTGCAGGTGCTTTTCCAACTTCCGCATCTGCCATCCAACTGCGCCGACACGTCCAACAAACGCCCGGACCGACTCTTCAGATTCCTCTCACTCTTCAAGATTTCTCAAGATCAGAATCTGTTCTCCTCTTGAACCCAATCATCTGTTCGGCTGGCAATTCCTCTATTCGATTCCAAAGCTGCCATACAACCACCAACACCACCGAACCACCATCGCCGTCGAAGCTCTCAATCTCCCGCCGTCGCTCGTGTCCCAAATCCACATCTTTCTCCTAGTCCGGCACCTCCTTCCAAAGCTGCCTGGCCTCCTATGGGCTTCAATCCCTTCTGCGATCCATCATGAGCGGGCGCAGGCGAAGGGCCTCGACCTCGAGCGTCGAGACCGTCGACGGCGACAGGATTCGTTGGCTGCAGGAAACGTCGGTTGTCAGGTCACAGCCCAAGGATGTCTCCAAGGACCTCTATCCATGCTTTGAGCTGCGCGATGCGACTGTGTATGATATGAACGGCGAGTCGCTCGAGAACGCACTCAACGTCGTGGTGCGCGGCCCGTACATCGTGAGAGGCCATCTCATCATAGATGACCCCTCTCAGAAGTCACACCGTGAGTTGTCGCTTTCCGGGTCCACCAAGTAACCGTTCTGACAACTGCAGTCATCATGAAGGTACGGACATCTACGCCCATAGAGATTCGCCATTGCATCTCCTATTCGATCGGAGAAGACGACACGCGCCCTGTCGTATGGGTCCTGGGCCGAGGCGGTTGGTACGAGATCAACCCGTCGGAAGCATATCGATCCATCTTCAACAAGATGTGCGAGGCCACAACCATGTATTACAGCCTGGTGGATATATACACCTCCGACAAGTTCAGCAGAACGCCCGTGAGAGCCAACGCGAATTCTCTCGGGGCTCTACGGGAGGATTTTCTGCAGGTGAGCAGGACTCTCTTACACCGTTCAAAGCTCTCTCTACTGACAGGCAGCCTCCAGTATGCCATGAAAGTGGGCGACGGCGCAACGTTCAACGAGGTTGTGCAGCGGTGCGCTGAGCATGCCATCTTCTTCGTCTGCCAGTTCGGACAGGAGTCTCTCGACCTTATAGACTGGAAGCAAACCCCGTTCCATAGATGGTTTACGGCCCAGCATGCCGTAAGTGACTTCTGGTAGATCAGTGACTGCGGCGGCAGCTAACAGATGTAGGATGTGGTCCGGAAAACGGAGATGGCACTCAAAAACCCACGAAAACCAGTCAGTCCCGCGCGAGACATGGCGAGCCCGGCGCCAAGTTACAGGCTCTCAACCCGCAATACCAGGAGTCTCAGCACCGAGATTGATGCAGATGTGGTCCAGCTCTCGAAACGACCAAAGCCAAGCCCACAAACAGACGTGGCGAGCCCTGCCGCTGCTGCACAGAGACCAGCCATACCTACTCTTTCGGCCGAAGCTACAATGAGCCCTGCCGCAAATGACGAATCTCCCTTTGCCTCCGTTTTCAACGCAATAGAGAGTCTCTACGAAGAAAGGCGCGACAAGAAGAAAGGCATCACTCGCACAAATGCTGCCAACACCCTCTATTTCCACTACAAATTTCCCAACTATAAAGACGGCTCTCCTGGAAGCCATCGGGTTCCCGCCGAAGAGGTCTTGCACTACTATGCCGCCGCTTTGCTGCAGGCACTTGATAGGGAGAAGTACCAGCCACATGATCTCTACACTTACCTGGGGGAGCTGGCAGCAACACCGTTTGCGCCACGGGCCCTTAAGCCATCAGACTTCCCATACAAATTAGAGCCGCGCAAGACGATCGTGCGTGCGTCTAAGAAGGCATTATTAGGGTCCGGCGGCCCAGAATCATCACCGCGTGATGATGGCGCAGCAGGCTCCAGCGATCCGCCCCGATATGCTGGCAAGACGGTGATACGGCCTGGCCGGCAACCGGGTAAAACATCAGCACTGCGAATCTCTGCCTATAAGAAGCGGCCTTATGCTGAATTTGGTGACGAGAGTGAGCCGGACTCCGAGGCCTCTGGTGCGAAGCGGTCGCACCACTTTCCGGAGAGGGATGAGGAAGAAGAGGAGGAAGACATCTCGATGCTGGACTCGGCCGATGCAAGCGCGTCCAGGGATGCCGGTCTGGTCGTTCAGCCGCCATCGGAGGATGCAGAGCCGATCCAGATTGTGATACGCGCTGAGAAAATACCGTCCACCATCCCCCGCGGCCCTGATGATACCTGGAGCTGTGACCAGGATGGGTGCGACTACATTGTGCGAGGCGGGGATGCGCAAGCCTGTCAAGTCCGGATCCAGAGGCACTTTGAAGAACACGACGAACAGAGCAAGAGGCTCAACCTGGCGGTCACGGAGAGCACCCGCGGACACATGCCTATCAAGTACGCATACTTCCCACCCTTTCTGATTCTCGCTGAGATGCCCCCGGTGAATGAAACAACCAAGATGACCAGTCCTCCTCCTCCCGCTCGCACCTCCTACCCAAGCCCAGAACCAGACGATATACCACGTGGTTTACCAAATGGTCTCCCAGACGATCCTCCTCCTGATGCACCAGACGACGTACCAGATCTAAGTAGATCTGCCACGGCTTCATTCCGACAACTCGTCGCCCAGTTCCGCCGTCGTCCCCAGCCCGTGTCTGATAGAATACCCAGTCTAACACTTTTGCAGTCATCTTCTCGAGAAGCTCAAGCGAATGGGCGAAAAGGCGCCGCAGGACCAGCCGTCCCCGATCCAAGGGGGAGCGCTCCCGCCGGCGATCAAGAGGAAACTGATAGTATGACGCTGCGGCTCGACGACGACAGCGACGATGACGACGACTGCATCTTGGTTTCCAGTTCGAGGCGGTAAACTCGCACGATATAGCCGAGTTTGACCTGATGCTTCCTTGCCGTTTACGCTTTCTCGACGTCGTCGACTTCTTCGACTATTTTATCCTTCTTTTAAGCCAATCTTTTTTTTTTTTTTCTTTATTGCATGTGGATGGCAAAGAACGCCCTCCTGACGGTTTGGTTCACGGTCATAAGGGGACACCATTGGGAATAACTTGGTTCAAGGCAATGAGAAAAAGCACCAACGGAGTAAACGGTTTTGAGATGTCGCCAATGACGACTCTTGCGGTTTTTTTTTTGCGTGTACAATACTGTTGAATTACATGCTTTGCTAGCTCTTTGGATGGACAAAACAATGGAAGAATCTAAGGAACAATCAGAGACAGGGAATCTCAATCACCAACTATCACCCATCAAGTGAAAATCCTTCTTGAAATCTTTGTTTTTCTACACCTTGCGAGTAATATCGCCCTTATATCCCCCCCTTTAGATTTAGAGCCAGAAAAGAAGAAGGAAAATAGCAAACAAAGAACTGATCCGGCCCCTTTTTGTCTCTTTTGAGACTTTACTCTTCCCGAAACTTTCTTCTTCTTTTCCCTCCACTCCCTTGCCACATAATATTTATTCCTACAGTATATCGTCGTACTCCTCGATCCAGGCTCTCTAGACTGCATCAACTCCGTTCGACGACGAACCGGGCTTCTCCTTGGCGGCCTCGATGACAAACGCCTCCTCAATCGCCCCCAGCCGCTTAAACACCCGCAGCCACCGCTGGCCCCAGTTCCGGATCAGGGCCTCGGGCTCGCTCGAGCCGTCGCCCATCTCCATCAGCTCGTCCTTGTTGCCGCCGGCCCAGCTCACCAGCAGGTCATTGAGCAGGGCGAAGAGGTCCTGCATGGCCTTGACCTCGCTCTTGCGCGCCTCCTCATCCGCGTCGGGCGAGGTGAGGAGCTGGCGGACTCGGACGGTGACCTTGATCACGGTGTTCAAGACGAGCTCGAAGATGTGAGGCTGCGCAAGAGCTTCGCCCGCGTTGGCAGCATCGGGGTGAGGACCGGCCGTCAAAGCCCAGCGAACGACCGATGAAGGCGTGAGGATGGAATAATTGAGCAGCTTCTCGACGATCGACAGGGCGACGCCCGGGTGTGCGTGCCAGTAAGCCATGACGGCTGCCAAAACCTGATTTTGCGCTGCCGGGGATGAGTTGGCAGCCTCGAGAAGACGTCCCTTGGTGCGGTCGATGCAGGCCAGGACGTGGCTCAGCGACTTGGATCCAACCCAGCAAACGGCCGTCATGAAGACATCTGTGCTTGCAACAACGGGGTCGAGTGCTCGATCGGCGGCTTCAGCCTGGATCTTGTCAATGATGGGCTGGAATTCTTCATCGGGCGCCTTCTTCCTGAGCAAGGCGGCAATCTCTTGGCCTTCGCTGGCAAATGGCGTATCTGGATGAGACAAGCAAGGTTAGTGATGTGTTTTGGCGTGGATATACATACTACTACTTCAGAGGAATGGCTGAGACTTACCAGGGTTGTTGAACTTGAAATCGGGAACATCCTTTTCCTTCTCCGGGCCGATCAAGGGCTGGTATGGCTCGGGAAGAGTCTTTTGAATCCGCTGAGCGAAACTGAGTCGCACCTCTTTATCCAACGCGCCTCTAAGAAACCACTTTGCAGGATGAAGATCGGAGAGGCTGCAGTCCTCGCTCCACTCAGCCCACTTCCACGTGAAGCCGAAATTGCTCAGATGGTGGGAGAACCAGTCGACGAATCTGAAGCTCAGCTGGAGGTCCATCCGGGGCGAGTTGTTGTACAGATGGCGGATGGCTCTGCCCAGGCTAGGCGCAATGGCGGCCGGAGCCAGCTTGCAAGCTTCCGTCAGAACGGAGTGGTAGTACACCAACTTGTGCTCGGGCGAGGGCAGCTGGAAGAGCTGTGAAAAGACGATGTCGACGGCTACATCTTCAGGCTTCCAGGTAGATCTTCCAGGAGCCGCATTGCGCAGCTCGTCAAACGGAGTGGCCCGCTTGACAAAGGTGTCGTCTGCAAAATAGCAGTCCAAATCAATCAAGTATCTCGCCGTGGCGTTTCTGTTGAAGTGCAGGCTGTTGATGGTGTCAGTAAGGCCGTCCCTAATGAGAGAAGACGCCACATTATCCGTCGGAGGCACAGATTCAACGTCCTGGTCGGCGTAGACGGAGAAGTAGACCTCAGGAAACAGCGGTCGGGGGCCAGCAACCACTGTGGATGGTATGGAAATCGCGGGCAGAGCGTGCTTCGGTGCGCTGGCAAGCTTGTCCTGAGACTCAATCTCCTCCAGAGGCATGTTCCAGGGCCGAGGGATGCAGGCCAGCTCCCAATCTTTCGCGGCTTCGGCCTGCAGCTGCTTTTGCAGAAGCATGCACAAGCTCTGGGACGGGGATGCGTTTTCGCCCGAGGGGTCAGGGCCGAAGGGGTCGACCAAGGCCTGAAGCGCGTGGGGTTCGGAAGCAATGATGTCGGTCTTGTCCATGAGTTCTGCCGCCTTCTGCTGGAACTGGCCGGGGGCCGCAGCCATGATGTAGGGAATCGTGAGCAGGATGATCTTGACTATTTCTGTGCCGATGGTCTACATCGTAAAGAATGTTAGAAACAAAGACAAGAGGCGAAGGATATCCAAGGCGAAGAGAAGACACCTACATCCTCAGAGCTTGCCGTCTGCAAATCAGCAGCGCGGCTAAACAGCTCCTCGAGCAAAGGAAACACTCCATCATCCTGCAGACACGCCTGCAGACACGCCAGAAACTTGAGGTACAGCTTCACCTCCCTCCACTCGCCCTTGGCAATCTTGCTCTCCGTCTCCTTGGCAAGAGCCTCGAGGACGGCATCGACAATCTCGGGCTTGAGGGTGTTGGCCACCAGCACAACAGCCGCCACGAAGGGCGTCTTGAGCGGCTGCTCGATGGCCAGCTGCATCGACAGGCCGACAAACATATTGCGTAGGTTCTCGTCGTCATAGTTGTCTGCGACCAGGCGGGCTATCGACTGCACTTCCTCGGACCATCGACGCAGGGGGGAGTCGGCGATGCCAACCAGCTGCCGTCGAAGCCGCACCGGCACGGGCACCGAGTCCGTCCGCCTGCGCTGCTGCCGGCGGTCGTAGTGGTCGTCGTCATCTGTAGAGAGAGAATCGATGAGCAACGGTCGCATGAGCCTGTGCACTTGCGTGCGACGGGGCGTCTGGGGGCTGATGGGACAATAGACAAACCTCTGTATCTCCTCTTGCGGCTGTTGCTGCCCTGCTGCCGTCTATCGTAATCAGCCATGACTGCAAGCTACGCGGCTCTGGATCGAAGTGGTTGTGAGGCGGGCAATTGGTGACGGCAAGGCGAGTCGAAGTGCTGCGAATAGCTCGGAAACTTGGTGCTGCAAGGCAACGCGCGCGACGGCTTCAAAAAAGCGTTGGTTGAGCCAGCTCAAGTCAATTGAAATCATTCCCTGCGCCGCAGTGGAGCCGCGACGTGCAGCCGCCCACCGCCCTAGTGCCTGTTAGTTGCCTCAGGCTGCAACTTCTGTTTGCTCTGAGCAGCTTCTCTCACATGCGCGGTCTCGAGCGAGCCGCTCATAAGAATGAGAATGAGAGTAGAGCTTCAAGGTAGCACTACATGTTCACTACAAAACAATGTGCCTCTACATGTGCACTCGTAACCTCTTCGTGAGCTCAGTACAGCCAATCTCGTGAGGCTTAGCGCTCTATGGATTAGGCTCGCTGCAGCAGTTCGTGCTCCGTACATTATCTTCCTCTTCCCATGCCATGCCCTCAGCCGTCGTAATACATACAATCGATGCACCATCACCATCTTCTTCATCGTGAAATGCAGGATCCGGCGAGGCGCGTAACAAGTGCCGCTCTTAAGGAGCCTCTAACCGTGATTCTTCTAGTAGCTCGCCCAACGTCCAAGATACAATACATTCAGTCCTTTACCCATTTTTGTCCCCTTGATCGTAACCACACCCCAAGATTGGGTCCGCTGAGGCTTCTCCCTGGGTGCTCTCATTGCCATGGCAGTAGTAAGAAGTCCGACTCCCATTCCTTTTTTTCATCTGTTTAAACGATGCCTGTCCTATTGTCCCGCTAAAGCTCATTTTCCCCATCCATTGTCCGCGACGTCCGGGCTTTTGCTGCAGGGGCTCTATATCCCACGATCCAAGATATCAAATCTGGTCCAGCAATTTCATCGTTTCCTTCCCCCCTCCCAGATTCCCTTCTCCCCCCCTGTGCGCCGATGCGTTGAAGGCGACAAAGGAGACACTCATGTTGAGACACAAGGTCGACACCCGATACCATAGACCTAATCATCCCCTCCAGGTCCATAAGCGTGCAGCCTCAGGACACGACAACAGGAAAAAGAAAATAAAAAAGAATCAACAGCCAGCTCCGTCATGCATCGAAACGTGGTCTAAAAAAGCGATCTCCCGCGATGCGCATCAATGCAGCCTCCCTCGTGTTGGCGGGTGGCCCAGGTTCCCGCCTGGCAAACCAGGTTTTGGGGGGATCAAAAAACGCCTCCTGTCCTTCCTTTGCCAATCTTGAGACAATGTCCGAAGCTCTCCTCTCCACAGCACCTCGTCACAAACCCATCTCACCCCTCCCAAGTGCTGAGCATGCGGGCTCCCACACGGCAAGCTTTTGAGAACAACATCTCGTCCGCCCTTCCCCAGTCGCCGCCCAAGACTTGTAGCGAGCCATTACCCTCGGCACCAACCCAAGCTCTACACTGCGGAGGAAGAGAACAGGGCTGTATTTCAAGAGACAACAAGTGCTTCCAAGAGTCCAGCAGAAGCCTGCCGACTCCATTCGGCCGACAGGTGGCTCAGTCGAGTTTCGCCAGCATGTCTTGCTTCGACATCGGCGTAAGGTTGTCAATGTCAAGTCCTCGGGCCGCAAGAACGGGCCTCATGTGCGGAGGTACGAGCTGGTGGTTCAGGTGCGGAGCGATGGAGAGTTCTGGGAACACGTCAGTGAAACGATCCAACAAGGCGACAATATTCATGCACGAAGCCTACCGTGGAGAGTAAAGTCGAAAAGATCGGGCAAGTCTCGCAGCTGGCCAGTTCCATGTCGCGAATCGGGCAACTTGGTGGCCGGGTCCCGAAGCTCGTCGAAGAAAGGATGCACCATGGCGTCGACGGCTGCCTGACGCTCGGTCGGGGTATACTCGAGGAGGCGGGAAATGAGATCGATGGCATTAGCATCAGCCTTCCGGAATACCTTATTGAACGGGTGAGGCTTGATCTGCGGGAACTTGTGCTCCATATAGTTGGGGTTCATGGTGCGAATCTGCTCTCTGGTGGGCGTGCCGAGCACCTTGATAATCTCCACCAGCTGGTCAATGCCCGACTCGCCGGGGAACAAGGGCTGACCGAGCATCAACTCGGCCATGACGCACCCCGTGGACCAAACATCTACACAGTCCAATGTTAGCGGATTCACAGGCCCTTATGGGATGATGACGACGTACCAATCTTGGTGGTATAGTTGGTAGCACCAAAGATGAGCTCGGGGGCACGGTAGTATCGGGAGCAGATATACGAGACATTGGGCTCGTTCTCGACAAGGATCTTGGCACTGCCGAAGTCGCACAGCTTCAGAACGCCGCTGTTGGGATCAAGCAGGAGGTTTTGGGGCTTGATGTCTCTGTGGCAGATGCCCTGCGAATGGATGTATGCGAGGGCTCGGAAGAGCTGGTAGATGTAGAGCTTGACTTCCAGAGTAGGCATGGTCGTCTTCATCTTGTTGAAGAAGCGGGAGGCCCGATAGACGGTCTCGGGAACAAACTCTTGAACCAGATTGAGATAGACCTCATCCTTCTTTAAGATTTGTCAGCGGGAGTGCAGCCTAAGGGTGCCAGAGTTTACACATACGCGTTCGCCGTTCGAGTAGTAGAAAGCCTTCAGCTGAACGATGTTGGGATGTCGGACAATCCGCATGATTTGGAGCTCGCGGTTCTATAAGGGGGTCGGTTAGCCGACAGCAACTCTGTGATGACGGGAGCGGAGGAAGCTCGTACCTTGAATCGCTTGTCCTGGAGAACTCGCTTGATGGCAGCATCCTCGCCAGATGGCGAAAGCTTGGTCTGAAAAACGACACCAAATGAACCGTTTCCAACAATCTTGCATTGCGTGTACTGCAAGTCTCTGGTTTCTCCCGTGATACCATCCTGAACTTTCTCGCGGATCACCTCTGCAGACGGCATCAGTCATTAGTCTCAGGCACCGACGAACAACCAGATCGTGCAATAACTCACCTCCCATCCGCAAACTGTTAAAGGCATTCGGTCGGTGGGTTGACATTTTGGGCCAAGTATTCTCGGGCTAGGGCGCCAATGCTATCGGAGATCGAATTTGAAACACCCAAGCGGCAGGCAGGTGAGGGGCAACGAAGAACGAGGCTTGGCGAGGGCCGTGGTGGGCAACAAGAAAGGGAAAGCGAGAAAACGGTGCAACGCGACGAGTCGCGAGGGCTTATGTCGCTGGAAGAGACTGTCGATGCTTGGCCGACCGGGCAGCCTTTTTGCTCGACGAGATTTGCTGTTGCGGCGATGACACGCGGCTGGTTGACTTCCGTTGCAGGTCCAGCTGAGGATGAGTCTGCAGAGGAGCTGTCAAGCACGCACCGAGATTAGCGACATGAGACTCTCGCCCAGGCTCTCCGACAAGTAGCGGAAATCAAGGATCTCGACGGGGTAGGATTTGGAGAATGCAGCGGCAATGGAAACCGAGTGCAGGTGAACAAGTCATGAATTGTGGTGACACGCTCGCTGCCAGGGCGAAATGGAAAGTGCGGGGAGGGAAAGAGACTGGGGCTGAGAAGCTGGAGGGGGAAAAGGCAACCAACTAAGGCGGACGCGCTGGGCAAAAAACTTGGTAGCTCTGCTAATGATGAAATGGCCCAGCCGGCGCGAAAAAGGCTGTGGCCTAGGAAATCAGGTTGGAAATCCAGGGACTACTCGGTGGGTTGGGGGACTTGAGGTGCGCCAGGCTGGAAGACGGCGGAAATTGCTAGGAGAGTGAAGGGGTGGGAGAGAAGAAGGGGTTAGAAAAGGAAGAAGAAAAAGGGAAAAGATGCCCCTCCAGAAAGAAACTTGAAAGCAGCTGCTAAGCGTGTAGAGGTACTCCGTACGTGCAATCAGGAGGTGACGGGCGGCAGCGGGAGTAGAGAAAATTCCATAGGTCCAGATGGCTAGCAGAAGCTGGTGTAGTGGCACGAGAAAGCTGGGCAGCCAGAGGAAGCGGCGGGTCTGTAGAGGGCGGGGTGCTTAATGTGGCGGGCTCGTGACATGCAACAAGCGACAACTCGAAGCAGCAAGGCAGGAGACGACGGGCCACGCAGAACAGCAGGGGAAAGGGCGCTGGGAGAGGCGACGGGGGTTGGCGAGCGATTGACGAGAGCAGGACGAGGCCTCGGATTGCACGCCGCGCGAGGCGAAGCAGAGCGGGCAGAGGGGAGGGAAGAGCAGCGGGCTGCGAGGCGGCAGGAAGGGAGGCTGGTGAGAGACGGGAGTTGAGGGCTTTGGCCAGCGCCGCACGCCGTGGCGCGAACCCGGGATCAAGACTAGACAAAGGAAAGTTTGGACCTACCAGATACGGGCTCACGGCCAGAACGATGCGGATTGAGTCGTCGTCGTAGCGCCAGCAAAACCCAGCTGTGCTGCTCTGCGAAGGTGCGTCCGAAGTAGCGTTTGGCGGCTCAGGAGCAGGACCAAGCACAAAGAAACGGGAGGCTTTTTGGTGGATGATGTACGTCAGGACCGGCACGGAGGGCTGGTGGAGCACGGCGCGACGCTGACGGCACCAAGTTCCTTTTGGCTTTGGTTGCACAGGCTCACGAGGAGACAAGACGGCTAAGCAGCGGCTCCGGGAGGCGTGAGGTAGACAAGGGAAACGCGATGGCGAATTGGCGAGCAACCGACAAAGTCCAACACTCGTGAGATCTGAAGGTCGATTACGAGATGAATGTTGGGAGAGATGCTTTTCGTTGGCGACGGCAGTACTAGGAGTGACTCGGCTCTCTGTGGCTGTCGCGTTGCAGGGCTATTAGACTCGGCGGCGATGCGGGGCACCCTGCTTCTGGCTGCTCTCAGGGTCAAGTGGCAGCACAGGTTCTTGAAGTCGTGGTCTATCATCAGCCGATTGGGTTCTTTGGTTAGAGCATGCAGAGCGAGGGCCGGGCAAGGTCGCAGACAGAGAATCTGCATGGACTGCACTAGGGGGGAGGACAGAGGGTAAGGTATGCCCAGAATAGCGATGGTCAACGTACACTTTAATATCCTCTGGTCTGCTCGGTGTACAAGAAGTAAAAGAAGGGAAGATTCAAGGTGAGGTAGAAAAGTCGAAGAGGGGAGGGCGAGGCGCAGTAATAAAAGTCTCCAGCAGAAGGGTGCAGACGCAGACGCAGACGGGGGAGGCTACGAGTACTACAGGTACCTGCCAAGTCCCAGGCCACCTGACCAACGCAGCACGCACAGAAGAGGCCAGAGGCAGGACAGGACGGAGCAGGCGTGCCTGTGGCCCAGCGCCAGCGGCAGGGACAACTTGCATATAACTGCCTACAGGGCAACGATGCCGGAGTGCCTTAGCTGGACGCCGTCACGATGCGTGCACTGCCGAGGGCATTCGCGGTTTTGCTTTCCGTCGTCGTGGTCAATGGGTCGATTCGATGGGCCGGACGATGGCGAGAAACTACTCCAGCATGTACCGTCTGTACCTGTGCCTGTGGTGCGAGCTTGCAGTGGTGCAGGTGAGGTAATCTGCGAGCTGCTGCTGCGGGAGGGGAGCCTAAGCCCAGTGCAGCAGGGCCGTGGCGGGTGACCTCTGCATACGAAGTACGGAGTACAGAGAAATTTGGTGGATACAGCAGCGAGGATAGGCACAGGCGGCAGGGACGCGCTTATCGTGGAAGCACTGGACCAGACCCCAGGTACCAGAATGTACAGTACTGCCACAGAACGAGTGCCGCTGGAGGACTCGCTTGCACCCGGTACTAAGGCACAGCAGAAGAGAGGCCCTGGACGCCCGAGCCAATCAGTGCCCGATGCCCTCCCCCTCTCTCTTTGTCTTGTCTCTGCTTTCTCTGTTGCATGTGTGTGCGTGTGCTCCTACATGCCTTTATTGCAATGACTCGAGGAGAAGATGCTGCTGCTGGCTGAAAACGTGGTACCTCCTCCGCCGATGCTACGAGTACCCGTACCTTACCTCACCTTTCCGCAGCGACCAGCCAGCCTCTAAAAGAGATCCAGCAGACCCGCACTGTTAGGCTGTAGGTGCTCATGTGCTCATTTTTGAGACGGGCACCTGGCGCTAAAACTCGGCAAGCGGAAGTCAAAGACTGGCCGTGCAGAGAACCATGCAGGCCGTAGGGCCCTTTTAGGACTAGCGGCCCCTACCTGCAGTGGTACCTGTAGAGGCCTGTACCTTTGACCGTTGAGGCAACCTAACCTGAGGGATCGAGGCCATTGGTAATTTGAAGTAGCCTGGCCCAGATCACGGAAACCAGAGCCACAGCAATTTGGGAGACGCTCTGGAGCAAATGTGGGATGACGAGAGCCGAGCTGCTAGACAGTCGGGCCAGCATAAGCCGCCCTGCCCATCACAGGCCGCCTGATACAGAGCTCGTGGAGTCTCGTCGTCTGTAGGTATTAATAGACCAACTCATCATCGACAAGAGGGAGACAGGCCGCAAGGCGATTTCCCCCCTATTTTCCCCCCATCTCGACCCAGGTGAAGAACGTCTCCTCGTCTATCCCAGGGCAAATTGCAGTTCAAACCTGATGTGTCCTACGCAGCCATTGAAGGCAGTGTTCCCCATCAGGTACCGCTACCCGAAGTACGAAGCTCATGCATCACGCTCAACCATTGGGTTTGGGTACCTTGGAGAACAACTTGAAAGTGCTGCTGGGCCGTTGAGGTGGCAAGAAGCTGTGGCCTGATGTGCCGGTAGCACCATCCTCTATTGCTGCTGAGCTACCGCAGATTTTCGCTTTGGGCGCCGCAGGAAGGTTCAAGCTTCTTACCGTATCGTACCTTCCAGCAAACAGCAGCAGACAAGACGTGGCCTTTGATCGAGGTCACTTGACGGTGGGAAACGGCAGAAAGGGGCTTCCATTTCTGCATCACTCATCATCGTCGTCGTCGTCGTCACCAGTCAGGCACACGATGCTGATGCTGCAAGAATCCACCAGCCGTTCGTCACGGTCAGTCAATTGCTGCGAATGGCGGATACTAACCCTCGGACACCCCCAAGACCCCTCACCACTTGACCTGTGGCCGCCACCACCAACCACCATACACACCCTCCCTTTTTCGCCTCGACATCGCTTTCGCCTCGATTTCTTACACCAGACGCCACCGCTCGCTCGTTCTCCCTCCGGCTGCTGGTGACGAGTGAGGCTCTCGTTGGGCAGCCGTGCCGACTCGACTCAAGCATCTGTCACGATACCGTACGAAGCAGGTGGTTCGTCAATGCTTGCTTCATCAACCTGGACAGGCCCCGAAAACCCATGAGACCCTGCTCGCTAACTAGCTCCGGCCAGCGGCGAGATTCACGCACCCATGGGCCAAATCAATCTCTGCGATCTGCGGCCGAATGCACGGGACAAACGAAGAATTTGATTTGATATATACATATTTCGCTCATACTTTACCAACTCCCATCCGGCTCGCATGTATATTAGTGTATGCATCAGGATTCTCGCAATATGTATGCTTCCAGGGTGTATGATGCTTCCAATCAGGTCGCTCGTGATATCATCCAGGTCACGCCAGAGGTGGCAGTGTCTCTGAATCCCTCATCTACCGGTTAATATGTGCCCATTTGGCTCAATTGCTCATCGCCGTCGTCTGTGGTTCTTCTCCGGTGCTTTACCGCCTTGCCAGGTGCAATCTCTCGAAGCGTGCCCCTGTCGAAATCGACGATTGCGCATCGTCTTCCGCCAAAAATAGGAACTTTGGACGATGACCTCACTCGGCAACCTCACACTCTGGTAAGCTGCAGATACACACACACACACACCATCGCACTCAAACTTTTGCCACTGTCAGGCAGGGTCGCTCTCCGCCAGGTCCCTGAAACAAGACAACCGGTGCAATCAGGATCCTCCAAACAGCTACTACCGCCGTGCATTATCAGCAGCCAGGCAAGTCAGCCCGGATGCAAGACAAGCAGACTTGCTTCCTGGGCTTCTCACAGGCAGAGATTCGGAAGTTTGCAGGTGCCTCGTTCTTGTACTCGCACCAGGTACAAGTCTTACATGCTCTTTAGCAAAGCAGATATGTTGTGGCAACGCCAACGTCTT